CACACCTGATACTGTAGAAGCACCTTTACAATTTAACCACAGATCTAGTGTTCTCAATAATTTGAATTACTTGACTGCACCTTTTTCATTACAAGAATTTGCAACTGCTATATTATCCAGGCATGACACTGCTTTTGGACTTGATGGTATTCCTTACAAAATTTTGAAAAAAATGACAGACAGTTCTAAAAAAATTGTATTAAAAGTGTATAATTTACTGTGGGCATCCAACACAATTCCACCTGAGTGGAAAATTGATTGTTTGATACCTGCCTTAAAGCCTAATAAAGATAAGTTTCAAGTAGATTCTTACAGACCTATTGCCCTCACATCTTGTATGGCCAAAATATTTGAACAACTAATCAAACAAAGGCTGGAATACTACATAGAAAGCAATGGTATATTGCCCGCTAATCAGTTTGGTTTCCGTAGGGGCCGATCAGCTAGAGAAAGCATATCACATTTAAATTTTGATATCTTTAATGCCATTAAGAACAAACAAGTTTTGATTAGTGTATTTTTTGATATTTCCTGTGCTTTTAATAGTGTAAATCATCATGTACTTGCAAATGAGTTACTGACCATCAGACTGCCAGAAAAAATTGTTAAATGGATATTTGATTTCTCACATAGCAGACAAGTTTTTGTAAAATATAATAATAAATTATTTGGGCCTAGATTTTCACATAAGGGAGTAGCTCAAGGGGGAATTTTAAGTCCTCTTATTTTTATATTGTATATTAGAAAATTAAATTTAACATTAGGACCACAAGTGAGTAATTTGCAATTTGCAGATGACTTAGTAGTATATATGTCAGGTTCAGATGTAAAATCAGTTATTATAAATATAAATAGTGCCTTAGATCTGTTACATAATTATTTTCATCACCTTGGACTAGATATTAATGTAAGCAAATCTAAAGTTGTAGTATTCAACAAAATAAGACCATTTCATGTAGATATTTACTATAATCAAACTAAGCTCCCTATAGTGAATAAAGCCAAATTTTTAGGTATAATTTTTACATCTAATTTGTCTTGGAATACTTATGTTAATGAAGTTATTTCTAAGGCTTCCAGGGCCTACAACATTCTAAGATGTCTGACAGGAACACACTGGGGTTCTGATCCAAAAATACTTTTAATTCTTTATAAATCCTTAGTACGTAGCCATTTTGAGTATGGATTTATGTGTTTTGGGTCTAATAGGAGATTAGTTGAAAAAATAGACATTTTACAGAATCGTAATTTGAGATTAGTGTTAGGAGCCATGAAAACCACTCCTATTAATTCATTACAAATAGAATGCAATATTCCACCTTTACAGATAAGGTTTAACTATTTGAAACATAAATTTCTTCTAAAATTGTTATGCATTAAGCATAATGCTTTGATAAAAAAACTTATTACCTTTCATAACACATTTCCTTATTCCTCAACCTCTACAGTTCCATTTATTCTTCACGACTTTTCATTTATATTAGAAATGAGTACATATAACATATTTAGAAATGATTACCACTGGGTTTGTTATGACCATGAGTACTGGAGTAAATTTACAAATATGCACATCATAATAGATAGAAAATTGCAACATAAAAGTGAGGTTTATAATATATTGACTCAATACCCAGCTTATAGATCTATATATACTGATGGTTCCAAGAACGACACAAGTACAGCATGGGCAATCTACATACCTTACATCAATTGTGGCAGAGGAAGAAAGCTTCCTTCAGAAATGAGTGTGTTTACAGCAGAGTGTTACGCAATTTACATTGCACTAAAATATATATCTAAAGAACAGTATTTTCGCTGGCTTATAGTATCAGACAGCATGAGTGTTCTAGAAAGCTTGGGAAATAACAAATTATCTGCCGATACAAACTATCTAATACATGAAATAAAACACTTATGGTTGCAGTTAACTCAACAAGGTTTTGAAACGATTTTTATCTGGACACCATCTCACATCGGCGTTAAAGGAAACGAAAACGCAGATTATTTAGCGAGAACTACCGTTATCAGTGACAGCGGCAGCCCTGATAACGATGTTGCCATCCCATTTACTGATATTATTCCTATTCTAAAAAATAAGTTATTGCAGCAATGGAATATAGACTGGCATATTACTCTATCAAGAAAAGGTACATGGTACGCTGAAATCAATAGTTTACTATATTGTACACACAATTAGATTATTGTAAAAGTAATGCAAAACAAAGGCTTTCATTAAGCTCCGCTTTTACTAAGGTACGTTAGTAAAAATAAATTACTCAGACAAAATAAATAAATTACTCAGAGTCTGAATCAATAAAGTCAGAGTTTCGACTTTATAAATCTATCGGTTTATAAATCTACAGCGTGACCTTGTATCGAAAAGAATAGGTTTCGTTAAATTAAGTTGCGTATATTTAGTTAATAATAGATATTATATTAGTCTTGAATGTGAACATTAGAGCTATGATTAGTATATACTTGATTAATGTCAAAGTCAAAGTCAAAATAATCTTTATACAAATCGACTTCTTAAAAGTACTTTTTGTTTTAATGTTACAATAATGTCTATATTACAGTTTTCAAAAATATATCATTTTACTAAAATAATATGCACACACTTTTATGTTTAGTGTGATATATTTATTCATTATATCTTGTAAAATACCTGAAATAGGGGTAGAATTTATCAAAAACCTTTCTTAGGGGATGCCTAGGTCATAGTAGCTTTATGCATTCAAAGTCATAGCCCGATCGGTTTAAAATTGACAAAGTTTTATTAAAAAACTTTCATCCCCTATTTATTCCCTTGGGGGTAAAATTTACCAAAATCCTTTCTTAGCGGATGCCTACGTCATAACATCTACCTGCATGTCAAATTTCCGCCCGATCTTTCCAGAAGTTTGAGCTGTGCGTTGATAGATCACAATGTCAGTCAGTCACCTTTGAGATATATATATGTATTTTTCTATTTCCATTTTCTTTTTATAATAAAGTCTGTTTAATTCTTTGTAATAAATATACTTACAGCCAGTTGCACAAACGTCCATTATAAATATCATTAATTTAAAGCGACATTATCGATACAAATTTGACAATCATTAGGGCTTAAAGGCGTTATTTAACCTTAACAGACGTTTGTGCAACAGGCCATTAATATAATAATATATTACTTATATTTACTGGATAAATCTTTTTTGTTAGGTTCGTAGTTCGAACCTATCCTAAGGGGCCGTCCATTAATCACGTGATGTTTTTTCAGTATTTTAACCCTTGGTGATACATGGTAAGGTTTAAGTCTTCATTTTTGGCGCCGATGCGTTTTATTGGTGTCGAATAATTCTGGTAGCAGTTCGTTTCTTATGTCATTTAGTAGTTTTCTCTTTTGCTGTCCACTTGATAAATTGTTGACCAAGCAAAAAGAGAATGAAATGAAAATATCTTTATTCAAGTAAGTTTGTCACTCAAATCACTTCAATTAGATGTCCAATTTATGAAAAAATACGTGGACAAATATATAGACACATATAAAATATAAACCTACAAAAATGTAGAACACGTGTTTAGAAGCCTATATACTATATGTAGGTTGTTTTGTAGGTTGACGCAATATTCACATATGTTAAGGCTTAACATATATGAATATTGTGTCATATTCCAACAGAATTACAACATACAGGTTAAACTGATAACATCTTTTTTGAAGTTAGTTAAACTTAAATAGTTTATATCTTCAAAACTACTGTACTGATATAGAAAAAACTTGTAGCATTCCCTAAGTTGAAAGCTAAGCAATTAAACAAAAAAACATTGCAATCCAACGTTTAGTTTGTGAGATCTCCGTGGACAAACATACATCTATAAAATTTAGCACATGTGTTTAGAAACTCATAAAGACCAACATACATGAATATTACGCCATTCCAACAAAATTACATACATCCACCTTAAATTGATTACCTCCTTATTGTTGAAGTCGGTTAACCAGATTGCAATAATAATACGTCTGAATTTTGTATGTGTACAAAAAGTAACAATATCTATCTTAAAGTTTTAAAATGAATGCGAATATACTTTAAAAAGATTTGCCATGAATGAACAGAATCATTGAAAACGCAAGTTTGAAGTTTACTCACTATAATGGCCAGGGATTTAATTTTACAACATCTCTAGATTAGACTACTGCAAGTGTCAAATAGCGCAGCCCTCTGGGCGCATGTGCGGCCCGGGCCGCCTCCGGAGTAGGTACCATTCTATATTCCCTGTACGTGGTCGATAAGGATGAGCCGTTATGGTAACACCTTTCATTATCGATAGATAGTATTAATAGTGAGAGTCCTGAGTGAAGCTAGGCATTCAATTATCCCAAGACGAAGATCGGCCATCTTTCAAGACTGTAAACTTTATTTTTCGCTACCTACTTCGTTGATTTTAATGGAACTGCATGCTGGTTGTCATTAGGCAGTATAGGCAGTAGACTTTATTATACTTCTAAAAGTCTTCATATGGATTTCAACGCTCCAAATTAAAATTATTATTACCTTACCTAATGAACTTCAATACGTAATATCTCTCTCTGCGTTGACAAGGATATAAACACTTGTTATACTGTAACATTTCCTTGTATTTTGCCGAGCAGTAGGTATAAAAAACGGGCAATGGCTGTACTAAACGTTATCTCGTTTATAATACTAATAATTAATAATTATAATACTATACTTATTTATTATTATTCGAAGTAGTCTCGATTCACTGAAGAAAAAACTGCTAGCTTTTATAAATGTTATTACTACCTTGGGAGAACACGCTATGAACAAAAAACACTCATGTAGACGGAATACTGTAGGTATATAGAAGGAATCTGTTCCTCTTTTCCTTCCGGTTAAAAGATATCATCGATATGTGTGCGCCGTGCCCTAGCACTACGCTGCAGCATTTTCAAGGTCACATCTCTCAGTGGGCTGCAAGCAGCCGGCGCGGCGCTACACGATGCGACTCCCGCTATGAGTACACCACGGAGTCGCCCGAACGATACCGTCGAGCTCTTGCCCTTGAAGTCGGCTCTAGTGAACAACAACTATCGAGAAGACGACGCATACTATGCGCCCCAGCCGCCGCTCAACAATAATCCCTCCAGCTCCAATCTATACGATTATACATTACTCTCAAAAAGGACACCGGCTTCGAAAAGGTACTATTATCACATAAAAAATATAGGTATTTAATTTAGAGTCATTTAAAAAATAATAAGTAGATACCCCTTACTATGCCATCACTTTTTCTTTGTTGTTATTATAAAAAAAAAACTAGTGACCACTAATCATGCATTTAATTGTCTTTAATTAAATAGACTTTAACGTACTAACGATGTTTTTAAAGAAAATAATGACTTGTGAGTAAAATAAATTTCCTTAATAAGTAATCAAAAGTAGATATCAACTCACTACAATTGTAAAATTTATAGCTTTATTAGTAAATATATATATGTTGTTCACCGTAATATGATTTGGTAATAAGAGTTTTATGAAAAAGAGACGATTTTTCGAGCTATTACCAGAAAAATGCATCTTAACTTTAGACCATCCTAAATTCGACCAATGACTATTGGTAAATGATATTGAAAAGAAAAGAAAAACAATATTTCTTTATCTTAAATTTCAATTAAATAGCTAACAACTACCAATAACACTCGAAGCCTTACGAAATAATAATTATTATCATGATATTATTATTGTCATTATTTTTAATATTATTAGAATATTTTTTTATAAAAAAAAATTACCTATTGAAATATGGGTATATTTTTTAAAACATGATTTTAATCATAACCATGATATTTATATTAATGGTAAGGTAATCATTCGAATTACTAAGTGTACAAAAAATGTTAATGCCTTTACAAAATGTTACTCTATAAGTTTCGGAGCACCAAACTGTCAAATAGAGAGAACCGCGTGATATAATTTACGCGGCTCCCTCTCAGCAAGTTGCACAAAGGTCCATTAAGGTTTAATAACGCCTTTAAGCTCTAATGAATGTCAATATTGTATGGGTAATGTATCTGGCAGAGTGTTAATGTATGACAGATATTAATGTAAATAAGACTAAAATGAAAAAGTTTTGCTTTGTCGTTATTCTAATTTCTTTTTGTCTAATAAGTTCGGTTTATTTGATGCAGGCTGCTGTCGAAACAAACCCAGCCCGCTCCGACGCCGCTGGTGACGTTATGTGGTGCTCCGCCGCCCTCCAGGAAACGCGAGGAGTTGGCTGCACTTGCGAATCTACGCAAGAAAGTAGCGCCTGCACTGCTACCAGACAAGTCAGTATACATACACAGCTCACTACGGAACACTGACAAATCAAAACGTAATGGCCTCTTAAGCAAACACTTTGTCGACGTCCCTCCTTCGTGTGGTCATAACATGAAAAATGTATCTTTTTGTATTTTTGGTCTCTCGCCACGGTTTCGGTACGCCGAGCCAAACAAAGCGCAAAATCAGATCATTTCGAAGCGCTTTTTTTTGGAACCTATTTGCTTTTAAAACTTGTTATATGAAAATAAAAGTTGTAGAGTAAGCACCTCTGATGTGCAAACAAGAAGATTTTTTATATATGAAGAAAATAAAACTCATGTAAAATGTTACTAAGATGACCATATTAGAAGCTTGGATTCAAAACTGTAAAATTTCCCCTCTAAATTTTAAACTCTAAATTTTAGACCTGAAAACTTTTCGACACAGTGTGCTACTATCGTCTTGGGAACATTTTAACTCGAAAATAATTTTGGTAGGATTTTATTGAGATATTTTTCTTCAGATGCTATACCACTGGGTTTCCTTTGTAAACGCGAGTCCCATTTAATACTAGCTGTGTTATTGATTCTAGTGTCTTAGGCCTTAACCTTTAAGTCATAAACGACCAATTTTTATATTTCCATGGTATGCCAGCCCCCTTACCTTCGAACGCAATCACAACCGATCGACATTGCAATTGTGCCGCTCTCGCACTCTTGACTGGTTCATTAGCATACTCTGGCGCTAGCCACGATTGCGTTCGAGAGTAAGGGGGCTGATCGCCGTTGGGAATTATCTGGATGGATGACTGGATATCTACTTTAAAAATACAGGGACTCTTATGAAAATTTTCACTAAACTTAGGAGTAGGAGTCGCCTGTCGCCTAAGGTGAAAATGGATTTCACCAATGAATAAGAACCACCAAATGACATCAAGTAATGTTTAAAGTTATGGCATGCGTTATGCGGCGCCTTGCGCTCGCATTTGTATAATGTTATATACGTGTCAAAGTATAAAATAAAAAAAATGATTATTTGGAATCAAACTAATCTTAACTAGCTTAGGCGATTCATTTATTAGCTGTTTCCTAGTTAAGTTATGCCTTTGTTCTAGGTAAGTGAAACCGGGTATTAGTTTATTATTAATAGAAGTTTCGTGAATTATTTTCACTTCTAAATGGCTTGTGTGAAACCTGGTTTCTTTCACAAAAATATATATTTTCAGCTCTTAAGCTGTTGAATATAATGTGACGTAATCCAACGTTATTTAAAGTCAGAATATCGTTCTCACGGGTTGGTGAATACCGTCATGTCCATGTTTTTAAATAATCTTTTATAAGAACCAATACGTCGTCGTACAGCGTGTCATCTAATAACCATATATCCGATGACACGCGGTACTTATATTCATATATAAGTACCGCGTGTATATCCATATATAAATATGGCCTTTCATAAATTAAATGAAAAAATAAATCATGAGAAAAAAAGCGAAGCCTTGATTTAAAACCATCCATCATTCGTTGTAAAGCAAGGGTAGATGACGTGAATAGATCGCGTACGTCAGCGTTTGGCGGACGGAGCCTTGAGCCGTTGTCTCAGGCGGGTTATCGAAGCGAAACACGCAAAGGGCGGAGCGCTTACCTGAAATTAGCAATATCCTCAGCCAACTGAGGTCGCTGCAAATACAATACTTTGAAAATTGCGTAATTGCCAGGGCCGGATTTAATCACGATATTGTCCTCCACAGTAAGAAATATGCATGATTATTTATTGTAATAACTAGTGGACGCCCGCGACTTCGTCCGCGTGGAAGTCGGTATCCCGTGGGAGTGAGAAGTTTTCCCAGTAAAAAGTACCCTATGTGTTATTCTGATGTATAACCTATATTGCTGTAAAGTTTTATCCAAATCCGTCCAGTAGTTTTTTCGTGAAAGAGTAACAAACATCCATACATCCATACTTACAAACTTTCGCCTTTATAATATTAATAGGATAGGATAATACATGCTGTCGACTTTGAATAAACTAAAATTTACAAGAACAAATAAGTATATAAAATAATTTACCGAGATATAAACGATAGAAATCTCGATAAAAAGGTGTCTAGTGCACCTATCGCATGGGAATGACAAGGATAAAAAGAGTCCCTACTCCAAATCCATAATTATCTTATAGAAAAGTATTTAAAAAAATCTCAGTTCAGTCATATTCTGTTAAAAATACTGCGTCGACCACAGCGGTGTCCCAACGTTCAGTTCTACGCTGTATTTCTAACAAAATAGAAAAGCTGGGTATGATGAATTTTTAAAGATTTTTCTTTAAGATAAATTTAGATCTAATAACATTTAGGTAATAAATTGCTGCCCTACGCTCTCTTCCATTCATCACTCGTAATAAATGAAAAAAGGAGTTTCTTATCGACATTCTTATGATTACGATAAGTCAGTTTTTGAAGTATCATTTGTTGTTATGACATTTATTCCATAGATAGGTACAATTTTTTAGATATGTATATACGTATACATAGATATGTATTTTTATTTGTTACTGACAACCCGGCCCGGATTTAGTATTAGGAATTCTAGGTCGTTACTAAGCCATGTATGGCTGAGATAATCTTGTCTACAATAGCGGAGAGCAAAAAATTTTTGCAACGACCTTTTGTTGAATTTACGTAGGTATTAGAATTAAGTCGTTTTTTAGTGAAATGCAATCCATCAATAACGTGGCGTTTTATAGCCCAAGCCAAAATAATTATTCATTAACTTGAGCTGTGTGACGGATATACTATCTTACTTATATGATTCTATCTAATGCGTGTTATGAGGTCTATGTCCTAAAAGTGGGGACTGAAACAGGTTTGTCAGTGAGGATAAAATATTAATAAGTCTTATGTAACTAAGTACAACACTTTGTTTTGGCAGGAAGTCTTCCAAAAATAACAACGAGCCTGTAAACAAAGACGACAACGAAACTGAGCAACTTGACAACCGACCAAAACTATTGCAAAGGGTATGTCTTAATGCATTTTACTTTGTCTTATGTCTACTAGTAAACAACAAAATTTCTTTGGTGAACAAATAAATTATAGAGGTAAAAATCATGAAAATGTTAGGAACCACTGTATTATAGTGTATTTGATATAAGATCGGTCCAAGAATGAAAGCAATCGTAGTGCCGCCGTAGTATAACTTTCATATGCGCTCGTAACGTCGTAGACTCTCGTAGCAGTGCAGTAGCCGACATAACACTACATCGTAGTATCTATATTTTCGTAGCAGTAGAAAGAGTTCTTTTGGTTCAACTTTTTTAACAGGATAGATTCTTACCCATTATTTTTAAATGTTAGCATTAAATAAATTCACAAGAATAATTCAATTGATAAGATTAAGGTTCATTTTATTTATTTCTACAAATTTCGTCTGATGCATTGTACACAATTTTAATCTTTTGGTGGTTGTGATATAGGCCGCTGTAACCTTGACCTGCGCCGGGAACAGGAAACCTTTTGCCGATGACCTTCGCCGTTCCTTCATGTTGACGGAACCAATTACCTTTCCCGATTCTAAAATCTATATTTAATCTATTTTAAATCTATATTTATAAGGAAAATATGTTATGCGATAACTTCCGCCCAAATTCAATACAAGTTTCATGAACTGCCTTGAAAATATATATTATTTTTCACGTTTTGGAAGTCGGTTTTATATATTTTTTCTTATTTTTTTATGACCTACCGCTTATTTGTACTTTGCTTTGTCCTTTTATGACTTAGGTACCACTTTTTCAGATACATATATTAAGTTTCTTAACTCCATAATTATGTTATGAAATCGTTGACCTTTCTACAAATGCGAGTCACGTTATAGTCTATAAGATTTCTTTGCGATATGTAGGTACTTAGCTGCATTAGTGAATAAAAATATAACGCCACAAAGTGGTCTGTGTATCGTCTGAATCAACATAATGTATATGATGTCGAGAGAACAAAAAGGTTTCTTTTATCGTTCCTTTGTTTGTTAAGTGCTTTTAGCCAAGAAGTCAACTTTTCAAGTGGTTATACCTACTTTATAACACTGAGGTAACAAGTTTTATTATAATTTTATATAATATAAATACAGTTTATTTAGTTTCAATACATAACTAAGTAGGTGTCCATATATTTATTATGGTATTAATTGATATTAAATGTTTTGTTTTAAATAAAGTTATAAAATAGGCTAAGCTGGGTTTCGATGGAAGCTATTTTGCATATCATAATAAGCTTAAATAAGAAACATAAAAAATCTCAAATAATACACAAAGCATCTCGCATAAAACTGTTGCTCGTCCGAGATGCGTAACTGACACTGAAAATATTTGTCCATTTCAAATACCTAGTTAGGGAAACAGCCAATAAATATAGATTGCTTAATTTAAGGTAAAATGAACACGAGCTTAAGTGATAACCGAGTTTTGAATTAGTTATATTTCATTATTTTAAATTTGATATATTGATATTTATGTGGAAAAAAAATCTTTAAAAAATGACAGTAGCCAGTAACTCAGTAGTCTGAAGCAATAATGATATGGAATAGAAATTTCTTGTTCTCTAGCGGCGAATGTAACAAATGCTTGAGAAGTTCGATGGTATAACTCTACGTAAAGTTTGGGATTAACTTTCTTGTTTGGTTAGAGATAGTCTTCCTGTTAGCAAAAGCTTCAAATCTCGTCTCATTCGGACACCTAACACTGGCTCATTTCTAAAAAAAAGTCGGTCACCGATCAAACTTGCCAGCAATACTAGAGTTGCGTCATCCGATCACATGGGGTCGTACTCTTGAAGAGCTATTAGCAGTTAGTCTACCTATAGTCAACTAATCCGGTTTTCGCTAGATTTGGTTTCGGTATTTCTTTTTAAAGAGGAAAGTTATAAGTCTTTAGTATTTACCTATAATAAAAACGCAGGTTAATACCTTTTAGCTGCAAACCCGTGCAGTTTGTATAGTTTGGCAACTTCCAACTAATGACGTCGTGTCGGCACCACCAACTAGAAATCTGCACTCGTCGGTAACGACATGTGCTCGTTAATTTTAGTGTAAGTACATATTTTAATGAGTCTCCCACACGAGGCTTAATATAGTTTTATATTATTTTAGTAACAATTGTTAGAATTCTAGCGCGGCCTGTTTTTTTAATCATCATTGATTTAATCTTTTAAATTATTTTAGTGGTACGCTATATAGGTATATATGAGTCATACCTTTACATAATAATTATCCTTATTTGCAAAAATATGGTAACAGGGTTGTTTAACAATTTAGATCAGTATATTTTATCGTCAAGACGATGTACAAATAGTAAAGTCAAATTACAATAAATTGTCTGATTTTATATTAAAAAAAATGTCAAATCATAGTCATATAAGATAAAACAGGTTAATATTATCATCAAAGGATTAATACAATAATTAAGAATGTGATTTAACTTGCAAGAACTAATTTAAGTGAATAATATTTTTTGTCAATTAAATATTTAAATGAACGGGATTTCAATTCAATAACATTATCAATACTTTGAATATTGTTCAGTAACTTATTATAAATGTATATACTCGTAATCAATCAAACAGTAAGAGTTCTTCGAATTAACAATAATTTTTTATCCTTTCTACCTCCATGTGCAAAATCTTTATTTTGTTTAAAAAAATGGAAATGATTTTTTTAACAAATATTCAGAAAGATATAAACATGGAAGTGGTAATACATTCGATGCTTTAAAGTTAAAAAAAAGGTTTACATGAGCCCAAGTAGCCTGCACCACAGACTGACCGTATGCATTTCTTTTGTATTTGAAAGCACGAATTGCATCGACCTAATTCCCTTTTATAATGTGAGTTATAGTTTATAGAGCGAGTTCTAAATTAAATTTGTAATGTGGATGGACAGTAAAACAGCACTTTTTTAATGATATCTGTACTTAATTCATCCATGCCTGTTCACTTGTGTTTTTTTAATGTTTTATTGGCTTATAAATATCATTTTTATTAACTGGTGTAGAAACTATTTGAACATTTTGGTATGTTGCGTGTTGCATAAAATATGTCAATAAATTTATTATTTGCATTAGTTTTATTAATCAAAATCAATTGAAATTATCACTTATTTCTAATAGGTCATTAATATATGAATTGTCATTAAGTTTAATTTCTGAGATGTCCTTTTTATTTTCTCTGTTGTAAATTGTATTTGATTAAGTCCCACGTCAAGTTGCGAACATTAATGCTCTAGAATTATGTATGTATACGTAGTATCTTCTTCTTAGTCTGTGAGATATGTAAATAAAATTATGAACGAGACGTAAACAATGTTTGTTCAGGTGCTACAAACGAAGCCCGTTAGCATGGTGGTGCAGTGGAGCGAGGTGCGTACCGCGTGGCAAGACAGCGACTTTATCACAGAGTGCCTCTGCTGGCACAATGTGTACCGGCAACGGCACGGCGCACCACAACTTTACATGGCACCTGAGGTACAACTTTCATGTCAAGGAAACGACCTAACCAATCAAGTGCGAGTCGGATTCGCGCACGAAGGGTTCCGTGCTATTATCAATTTAAAAAATCACGTTTGTTTTCAATGTAGTTGTTGAAAATTTTGAGTGTGATAGTTTTCCTTTCAACTTTGTAATATATAAATACTACTGCCGTTTGAATTTTGACCAAAGACCGTTATGTTGGTAGAGGGGGAGGGGAAACTTGTCTCTAACGAAAATAGAGAGTTTTAACTACTAATAAAACTTACCATTTATTTTTCCTAAAGATATCCGGAATCCATTTTGAATCAAGCACCATCCTTTTTTTGACGTTTCCGGTTCAAAACTGTACCTTCCCTCTTACTTCCGGCGCCTGTGCTGCCATAGTTTTAGCGGGTAGCAAAAGTTTTATTGCTGGTTCGATATCCGGAATCCATCTTGAGTGAAGTGTTTGTTATCTCCCGGTGAGTGTCGTTGGTGATGCTATAAAGTGTTGTAGATATACAAGGTAAAATTTGCAATTATATAATTATATACGCAATTATAAATATATTATGCAACCAGACTAGGGATGGGGGGAGGGGGCGGTCCGCCCCGGGCCTCCGGTTCTGAGGGGCCTCCAAATGGCTGCAAAGTCCCTTGATCACATTAAAATTCGGATTGGATTTTTATACATGAAAGAAAACCGGAAGGGTTGTCATGGAGAAATCAAGAAAGTACCATAGCGACATCTAGTTTGATTTCGGGAACTAATATTTTTTTTAATACTTCCTCATTGGAAACAGTTCCAGCAAATTTAAGGTTGCAACTGCAGATATAATAGAACCCGGAGAATCTTCTAAATGATGTGCTTCTACTTAGCATTTCTAAGAACAGTGTCCTCTAACAATTATAAATAACTCGTGTAAATTATTTATCTTCGGAGAACTTCAAATACAGAAATCAATCGTCGTGTCCATTACATACAATCTAATGATTTGTGTCAGTTAATCATTTTAATCCAAGCTGACATGTAACAAAATGGGGCTATAAGATAAGAAAATCATTTTCGTCCCTATACTTCAATAGTTAAAAGGCTCAAATTAAGAATTCTTCGACCTTGAACGTTGCGAATATATGCCAAATATCCAGAAACTTGAATAGGGCCTCAATTCTGCTAATTTCAATTAACTCGCAACTCAATGGACAACTTCTTGCATTTTCCCATTCTATTATTACCTGAAGTCCAATATTATTAGTGCAATGTTTTCAAAATGACAGATATATTTATTATTTTGTGATCTACTAATGAGAAATGTGTCATAAAGGGTTGCAGTCGAAGCGATTCGACAATTACAAGATTTTCCTGCACTTTACCACTTTTTTGTCACAATCTACCCAACCTTTAAATATTCTCTTTTTTTATGAAAAGTTCGGAACGTAAATTATTGATTTTGTTGGTGTAATTGACGTATATACCACAGATGTACTCATGCAAAATTACAACTTTCTAGTACGAGAAGTTTTTGAGCTAAACCGCAGACGAACGGGCGGACAGACGGACATGGCAAAACTATAAGCGTTCTTTGCTTACTATGGAATCCGAAAAATACATACTTATAAAGTCTTCTGGTAAATTGTAAAATAACAGGGAAAAAATAAAATCTATAGTTTTTTTTTTATTATTTTAAACCTGACGATAAGATGGGGCAATTTTCTGCGATAACTTCTAAGCTATTTATTATACCAGCTCTGTGACTACGCTCAAGCATGGGCAAATCACCTCGCACACACCAACAAGTTCTACTACAGAAACGACAGAGACGTAGGACAAAATCTCTACCAAAGGCCAGTCAGCGCGTTGCAATCTGACGTCACAGGTAAGTTTACATTCCCGTAAATTATCAGACCAGGGTTGACACCTTTTGAGAAACAAAATTTGGGACTTTCTAACGGTCATCAGAAGTTATCGCACTTCTGCCCTGCGATTCTGTAAAAATCCAAACCCGAATTAAAATTCACTCATGTGTCCGAATTCACGTCATTTAGTGAAGAAATGCTATTGATTTCATTTTTTATATTATAATACAAAACAAAATCGATTGATTAGGTATACGTGTCTCAGATATTCTATTCGTATGTCATTTCGAAACTCACTTCACTCATGCTACTAAACGTTATTTTCCATAAAGTAATATTTTAAGAAAAAAATAAAGCACTAAAAAGCATCTCACTAGGTGGCAACCATACCAAAAGTTGATTTTTGCAGGAAAGGAATGGATCTTAGATAGTCATTTCCGTTCCTTTTAACTATCACTAAAAACTAAAATTTACAAATATATATATCAATATAAATACGAAAAAGTACAAATAGAAAACGAGTTGTTTATTGAGTTTTGAAAATTAATTTACTTTTATAACCCGGAAGGGTTGTCATGGAGAAATCAAGAAAGTACCGTAACGACATTTAGTTTGATTTCGGGAATTAATGTTTTTTTATTTAACTGGTTCTTTTAAATACTTCCTCATTCAATACTAAGCGGATGCCGCTTTTTGAAGTGAATTCGAATTCGGGTTTGGATTTTTACAAAATCTAAGAGTATATCATAGGAAAAATATAAAATTGTATATTAGAGCGTTATCAAAAATCGAGACAAAATTAATGAGAAACCCAGAAAATTCGGGACCGGTGGCAACCCTGGATCACATTTTTGAGAACTTCCGTACCAACTTTAGATTTTCGACAACATTACACATCGAACTGGTATACGGGCTGTGTTTCATATACATCTCAGTGCATTAATAAGCTAATAATAATGCATGGTAGACTTTCTTTCCTTTCACTCAGAAAATTTTAATGGTTTTCTAAACCAACTGGCCAAGTGCGAGTCGGACTTGTACACGAAGGATTCCGCATCTGTGAAAATGTCAACTGTCTAACTATCACGGTTTATAAGATACAGCCTGGCAACAGACGGACGGACAGCGAAATCTTAGTCATAAGGTCCCATTTATCCTTTGGATACGAACTCTAAAAACGATACTTCATGTTGGTTTTCAGGTCAGGAGGTCTCTTCGTACTGGTATGCAGCTGTTCGACAGTACAACTTTTTCAAAGAGTCGGATGTTCTTCACGCTAATGTAAATGCAGGTAACGATAACTAGTTCATAATGTTTTAAGCTAGTCTTCAATGTGAGAGAGAGAAATATTTATATTTTTATACAAATTTGCTTAATAAATTCAATAATAATAAGACAATTCTGTGGGAAAGTCTATGAAGTTAAATTAAATGTACTCCAGTATTCACTTCTCCCAGGTCACTTCACGCAAATGGTTTGGGTGGCGACGCGGTTTTTCGGTGTGGGTAAAGCACGATCTCGCGCGGGAAAAGTAATAGTGGTAGCCAACTATTCGCCGCCCGGAAACATATCCGGACAATTCGAGACTAACGTGCTGCCGCCACTGCCGGAGAACTTTCCGGAGCCGCCGCCTCCGGCGCACTGACGCCGGCTGTCAATACGTGGCAGGCGACTCAAGATAGACGCCACGTATCTCAAATAGAGTGTACCACGATAGAGCTCATTTTCATAAGTCTATAAACGGCATGCGAGGTTCGCCAGGAGGTGGAAAAATAGCACATTAATGATGGTCCTCTTGTATGCATTACTAAAGTTTTCCGGAATATACATTAGCGCTCTATATTCTGTTGTATGTAAAACATACAACAGAATATAGAACGATCCCTAAATGTGCGCACGGCGCGTTATATAAATCTGCCGCACCCCGCATACAAGGTTTATCGACCATTGAAAATGCACTTTCAATATTAACGCGGTGCGTCCCTTGTGTGCTTGTAGGTTACGCATTTAGTTCCCTTGTCACAATCATCCTCGAGAATGATAATTTAAACTCCATCAGCTTTAGCATTGAGATTTGTATATGTAATATTATGTAAACGCAAAATTCATTACTCCTAAAAAGGAAGGAAAAGTTTCAGAGAAACACAAACAAAGCACTAATTAACTCAATAAATTGATAATAAATATAAACTTGATGAATAATTTTAATTGCTTCAGACATGCATACTAGTTTCAGCTATTTATACACAGAAGAACAATAAAATTACAATGTAAAATTATATTTTGGTTTTACATTTAACTTTTAGTCAATCACTATGCTCCATATGTAACTGAACTTTTTTTGATAAAATCTTACGTCCTCTAGGGAGTATATTGTCCATTTTTGGCTTCATATAATAGTCAATTAGGTAAGTTAGATAAAATGTAGGTTGTTTTGCCTGAGCTTGTATTTGATAAAAAATATTTAGAATATTAAATTGTCACCATTATTCACAGGAATATTTAGAGAGAGTTTATAGGTATAACTATTCATAGTCAAGCCTGCCATTCAAGTCCAATTCAAGCCTATGTTTTTATTAGAATTTCTAGTGATAGATATTTGCCACAATATATTGGTGATACAATTATTGATAATAATATGATTATAATGTGATTTGTGTTTAAAGAGTGACAGAAATTTTTATAATTTGTGGTAAGCATAATAGGCCTAATTTATTATTAATTAGATTTGTTAATATAATAATTTTTGAGATATTTTGCATATTTAAATGTTATTTATAGTTTATATAAGTAACATGTTAGGCTTTCTGATTTAAAATATGAATACAATCATCTAACAACCTGTCTTCCTCAAAGGTTGTTGAATAATATAAAATTGTTATTATATCCTGTTATTAATATTAAAAATTAAAAAATATATACAATTTATTATTAAAGACACTGGCTTATGTTATAATGATAAAATTGTCCTTTAAGTATAAGTGTTTGGGTCACCAAGAGAGAATATTATAATATCAAAATTTTACAGATATTCTAAGAAAATTGTTCTCTTTTATTTATATCTCTCTAAAATCTTCATGAATGATGTGTTAAATAAATAATCTGTTTACTGAGAGTTGATAAAAGTGATTTTTTTTAGCTCAAATCAAGGGTTCCAATTTCAATAAAAAAAGAGAAAGATTTTTTGTAAGTAAAAAAATATTATTGTAGTACTTTGTGGCTTAAATTCATTTAGTGCAATATTTATTCAATATAACAAGAGAATGACAACTTCCTCTGTGCTCACTGTGATAATTTCACTCATTATATAGATTGTGATTATTAAGACAGTTGCTCTTCCTAGACATAATAATCTTAATAATTATCAACTCTCAGCAAGACAGTCTATAGATTATTAGAAATTGTGCCAAATAAGAAGAAATACCTAAATTACATTTAGATCTTAGTATGCACATTATAAGTTGTCTATTGTAATAGACAAGTTCACTTAGTGAGAATGTTTCCACTTATTATTGTTCAATTTATTAATAATTAATCAATGGCTGTGAATTGTTAACTGTTAATATTAGATCACATTACATACCGCTTGGCAGTATTTTTGGTTTAATAAAAGATTACAAAAATAAATATTGGTTTTATTATTTCATTTAATATATTTCATCATCTTTATCACTGATAAACTGCGGATTGTTACTATTAAAAACAAAGTCTTGAAATTTAGTTTCAGTTTCACATTTATGGGATTGTCATCAACAATAAGATACACATTCAACAATACAGTTATTCACTCAGTCCATCTATGCTTACAACTAGTACACACGTAGTAAAGTCTCATTTCCTCTTCAGCGCGGCGCGTTTGTCCTTGGAAAAATACAGCCTCTCTATGATTACATTTTGGGCACATGTGATCTTTCGTGCGGGGCAACGTGGGGTCGCTTACAACATCAGGATTGATATGAGTTAGTTCATCTACTTCGTGCATAATTTTGTTGACATACACACAGTTGGAGTCCGCTAGCTGTTTGTAATCACAGTTTCTGCAGGCATACAGGAGGACTTTATTGTTTTTGTCTTCACGCGGGTAAAGCATGTTGTTGCACTCTTGACAGAATTGTATCCCCACGTATCCAGGTCCACCGTCCTTTCTACCCAGATTTAGAGTCATGTTTATAAGTGTTAAAAGTTTTAAGTTTCGTTCACAGAAATTACAGATAAAGAACGTTTACTTTTTAATTAGAAAAATTGCAACAATCATCAACAATAATAAAACGACAAGAGAAACAAACAACGTTATGTCAATGTCATGGAAAAAAATTTTGTTTCTCTATGGATTTATTTTTTTACAATTTTTAATGGCTTTGAAATTAATCCATGCAACTAGCCATTCTCATTTCAATCAATGCGTTATTCGAACGTCACTGTCTTATTTCTTTTTATTTTTTAAAAAAGAAATTTTTAAGTTGAAATAGTTATGTTTTAAAGCAAATTTATTCATATTTCATTATTTTTAATTTCTTATACCAATACGAGATTAACCCTTCCATACGTGGAATGAAAAGTTGGACGAACAGCCTGCGTATTGGCTAACTCAACTGATAACCTTAAATTTTATTCACCCATACAGATAAGTTATTCACCGTAAAAAGTGAACAACTACAATGTGTCAAAATCACATTTTTATTTTCTTAGTTCGTATTTAAATTATGAAATGCAATATTGACGATCTCCACTGAACTCTATACGGACACTTAATATTGTATCCATAAACTGTATTCGTATTCTGTAAATATTAGTGACCACAAAAGTGAACTTAAATGAATTATTTCATCTCAATTAAAATATATATATATAGCATCTGGCTAGGGATAAGCGATTTATTTTGGTTGTCCTCTGAAGTTGCCAGAGTTATAAAATAATAGTCTAAGATCCGAACCTAAATCGACCTTTACCGGGTTGATAATGGAATAAAACTTATTATATAATTAATTTAGTATATTAGAAAATATATTAAAAATGGGTTCGCTAAAAAAATCCCGGACAGAATATTTTTAATTATTTTTTTTTTAAATATTTTTTTATTAAATGTTGCAACATCAAGATAATAAGAAAAATTTTATTCTGACTTAAAGTATAAAACATTTAGAATGTGCAGACGTTGGGTTGTCTATTATTTACCTGGACGAACTACTGGGTTGTCAGGTATAAACAGGTATATCGATGCCAGTTAATTTCACTGGATTTGATAATAAAAAAAAAATTATTTAAATTATATTTATAAGCGCTGTTTCATTACGGACACATTGATATAGGGTTGTCTGCAAAAAATTCGGTCCTAATACGGGTTTGCGAATTTTAAAAATTAAAATTTTTAAGCAAGGTTATAAGTTTTGACTCCAACTCCATACCGCCATGTTGGATTTCCCTACTACAATAGAAGATGGTTTTTTAAAACAAACAGGTTTTATCGGAGATCAAACTCCTTTGAAAATCCAGGACATTATTGAAATGGAAGTAAATGAGGGAGAATCTAATGAATCTGATGAGTTTGAGAGTCAGAATTATACTTCTGATGAATCAGATATTGAATAGAAAATATTTATTACAATTTATTTTACATTAATAATATTTTATTACTTATGCTGTTCTGTAATATCATTTTTAAATATAATACAAAATCTTAAATCATTTTTTTTTGTTATTTTTAATTTGAATTTTCGGCTGTCCACTTTATTTCTCTTTAATTTGTTTCCAGAAAGAACAAAAAAAATTTCAAAGCAAGTTATTGATATTTTTACTATTTACGTCATCATATTTTAAATTACAAAAACTATTCTTTTATAGATAAATTATTATTATACTCATAAGTCAATATATATGAATATATATTTATTTAGCTAATGTTATATTGCTTAATATTGTATTTGCACTATATTGAATATATTAGATTGTTATGAATTTAATTAATTTTTTTTTTTTTGCAAATCAAATGTCAGTTGCTCCAAAATAACGTGCACCGTTTACTATACGGAGGGGTAGTAGTACCTCCACCCTCCATATTTTACATTCCGAGCATGCGCACTTTCATATAGTCAGGGTCCGAACAGATGCGACTGCAATGTTGGGTCCTTTACTATTACACGGAATAATTTCCTCGGATCTCTCTGTCACTCACTTACCCACGCGTTAAAATTTTAATTTTTAAAATTCGCAAACCCATATTAGGACCGAATTTTTTGCAGACAACCCTATATCAATGTGTTCGTAATGAAACAGCGCTTATGTTGATATAATTTTTTTTTTATTATCAAATCAAGTGAAATTAACTGGCATCGATATACCTGTTTATACCTGACAACCCAGTAGTTCGTCCAGGTAAATAATAGACAACCCAACGTCTGCACATTCTATATGTTTTATACTTTAAGTCAGAATAAAATTTTTCTTATTATCTTGATGTTGCAACATTTAATAAAAAAATATTTTTAAAAAAATAATTAAAAATATTCTGTCCGAGATTTTTTTAGCGAACCCATTTTTAATATATTTTCTGATATACTAAATTAATTATATAATAAGTTTTATTCCATTATCAACCCGGTGAAGGTCGATTTAGGTTCGGATCTTCTACTATAAGGGTTACAGATCAACTGTGGGACGATCGTGTAGCGCCGCTGATGTCGCGTTATTTCACGAGGTAGTTTCATTTATTATTCGTATGGCAACTCAAAATTGGTTACTGAATGTTGGTACATCTGTTAATTCACGTCAATGGTTGGCCAGTTTGTTTCTTTTCCCATCCGTAGCCGATTGGTGTCGTGCTAGCCAAATGGGTAAGGAGCGGTTTTGTGTGAAAAATACCGTGGTTTTGCTATTAAATTTTATATTTTTGGTGTGTTTAGTGCGAGAGACGCAACAGTTAATAAGAAAGTGTTATTAGACCTATATTTTTTCTATTTACCTCGAAACTTACCCTCACGCCTACTTGTCGGACATGGCGGAGACATGTTTTTTCTCGTGGTGTAAAATAAATCTATTTCCATCTTAACGACTGTGCGTCTATTATGAGGTGCGAAGAAACTATATAGATGCACTTTATGTGTAAAAATTAAAAGTTTATCGATTTATGTGAAAACTGTGATTTTAGTGTACATATAATATTAACCGGCGACATCGAAATTTCAGGCAAGCCCCGTGGTATACGCACGGCGCGAAAGCACGTGAATCACCGCCGTGAACAAAGATGGGCGGACAAGGACTACAAAAAAGCCCACATGGGTACGAGATGGAAGGCTAACCCCTTCGGTGGTGCATCTCACGCCAAAGGAATCGTCTTGGAAAAAGTGTAAGCTTGGGTTTTAACCTAACCCTGATAACTGTATTAGTTATTGCTTTGGACTAAGCCCATTAGCACATAAGAGGTTTTGTTATTGTGATAGTTTTCTCCTTACTATCAAGTATTTTATCAGGTGTAGTAGTAGTGTAAATCTAATATAAACGCAAATAGTATACGTGCGCAACGCTAGTGTGTCGCGGTCACGTTCACAGCGCAGCCGGCGGACGACGATGCGACGCTTTCTCGCGCGGTATCATTCCTGTGAATGTGTTTTCATTACAATCACAGGATAATACTGCGAGAGGCGGCGATGCTAAGTACGGCGAAACTAAGTGGAATGTGAATAATGTAAGTAGCACGTGAGGTCAGTGAACTTTCAGATTGAGGTTATTTTGCTTTTGGCAATATTACCTTAGCACCTTATAATTCTAGTCTTATGAATTTGAATTTTAACCATTGTGTTATCTTTATGTATGATCATTAGTAGTAGTGAAGAAGGAAGATGTGAATCCAAATCTAAACTATACTTTTTAGTGTGTAAGCAATAAAAATGTGGTCTATCAAAAAAAAAATTAAGGTTTCGGAGGTAGATTTAAAAACCTAATCATTAATGGGATTATTATAATGTTAACAATTAATTCAAGTATATACTATATATAAGATTATGTTGTATCTATAACTGCATTGTAATTGACTGATCGTTGATGTATCTATTTACAGAGGTGTTGAAGCTAAACAGCCCAACTCTGCTATCAGAAAATGTGTGAGAGTCCAGCTCATCAAGAATGGCAAGAAGGTAACAGCATTCGTGCCCCGTGATGGTTGTTTGAACCACATTGAAGAAAATGACGAAGTACTAGTAGCAGGATTCGGTCGTAAAGGTCATGCTGTTGGTGACATTCCTGGAGTCAGATTTAAGGTGAGCTGGATATACTGATCTTTTAACATCAACTATCATGATGTAAACTCAAATTTTTCAGGTTGTCGTTAAGCTTATCGTAAATGGTTTTTTTGTGTGGAATGTTTGGTTAGCTTTATCAACAATTTTACAGTACTTAACTGATTTTAACATGTTTTCAGAAACTTTACTGCTGGAAGACTTCACATTGACTTTACTCATTTATTTTCAGGTGGTGAAGGTAGCCAATGTATCCCTCCTAGCCTTGTACAAAGAAAAGAAGGAAAGACCACGATCATAAACACCCTTCACTGTGATAATGGTAATTATAATGATTCTTGACCTGATAAGACACTGAAATATGTTGGTACATATATTGCAAATAGTTTACAGAGCATATTTGCTTAGTGTTTCTACTCACTAGATATCTATAGTATCTGTAGGCCCACTAAACCTTGATTTTATATATGTCTGTAATCTCAGCCATGTTTTATTTAGTTTGAACAGCGCTGTGAATATCATAGTTCTAAGTCAAACCATGTGGAGGATGGGCAGTTTGGCTATATCTCAAATATCAAATAGTGTCTTGTCATTTATTCATCAGCCTACTTTGTTTTTGTACCACAATAAATTTATATGAACTGCAGGTTTATTTCAGTTTCTGTAGTTTTGTTAAATCTGACTTACTGTAGCCATAGTTCATACTTTAAAATTATTGTAGTAAATAGTTGAGTAATATAGCAATTTATACTTATTGTTTTTATACTTAAAGTTTATATATCAAGATTAAGAGCGATTAATTCAAATTCAAAGCTAGTGAATTTTATGCAGTTCAATTAAGTAATCCATTGACTCACATAATGCCTGAAAGTAATATAAAGATGCATCAATTAGTAAAATGATGTAAAATCATCTATTTGCTACTTCCGAGTGCCATGACGTCAAACTTTAACTGATTTATTTATATTTATTTTTGCTTTAAAAATTTCAATTTTCTGTGGTTCATAAGCATTTCAATTTACTTTTTGTTTCAGTGTCCCGCTACTGCAGTGGTGTTGTTGATAAGTGTAATTTCAAAAATGTAAAATCTAGTGCATAATAAACTTTATGTACGCCAAATTTTTTTTTTTTTTTAACCTTTCTAAGTTTTATGTTAGTCAGATTTGTGTATGTTAATGGTAAACAGTATTTTTGTTAAACAAAATCGAGTCGGTTTTTTAAACACTACTACCTACCCGCATATAAACCTCATACTTAGTTTTGTTCAATCACCCTCAGTTTTCGTTAAACATAAACTAAATTGATTACGCGAATTTCGCTTACCGACGTATGTTTCCGATAAATTAATATTGAATTATTGAATTTAAACCGTTTTTTTTTTTATTGTCGTTTCTGTACATCGTAATAAGATGCCCAGAGTGTGCGTAAACCATCCTGATAACTTGTTACATTTGCGGTCAACTTACTATTAAAAGTCAACATCGTAATTTGACACCATTAGTTAAAAACTGTTATTTTAATTATTTTGGCTTTCCGGTGCGAAATTTGGACAAAACCTGGACTCCTAGTGATTGTTGTGCACAATGTGTTAGTTTATTAACATCATGGGCTAAAGGATCTCGCCATATGCCGTTTGCAGTTCCAATGATATGGTCTGAACAGAAAGACCATGTATTAGATTATTTCTGCCAAACTTCTATCAAAGGTATTAATCACAAATCTAGACACATCGTGAACTATACGAATTTACAATCTGCTCAAAGATACACTTCTTACACTCTCATTTGGATTTTTTTCCTCAAAATTTGGGAGCCGTTAGTGATGAACACGGCGAGCGATTCCATCAGGATATATCCAACATGGAGAAACGGTACCAAGGCAAGCAAGTGCGAACATGTTGGCTGATTACTGTTGGACACTCAAAAGAGACGTACCTGACGCTAAATATTCCCGAAAATCCTGAATAAAAGTCAAATGTTAGTTGTTTCTCTTGATTAAATTCAATTTTCAACCATATTTACTTAAAAAAAAATGTTTATTGCAGTTGCAAGAAAACTGAGGGTGACTGAAATTTTAAAAATGCAGATTATTAACAGGCTAATTGTAGATACAAAATATCCCATTCAAATTAATTTAACTTTCATTAAGGTCATTTTTGTCAATCAGTGTAATTACGGATCAATATCTAATACCTTCCGAATTGTGGATTGATATGCGTGTGAGGCTGGCAGCGTCTCCCTCTTCGATTTTGAAACCAACTCTTATCTATATAGGATAAGGACCTAAGTTACATAGGTTCGAAATTTGGTTAGTCCAGTGCTGCTGGACTGATGTCGGTATCATAGCTACGACTGCACTTAAAATGTGTATCAAAAATCTTTATAACGTAATCAAACTTAGAATCTGAATACCTAATTATAGATCAAAAGAAGGAAGATGTGAATCCAAATCTAAACTATACTTTTTAGTAGAACGATTTACAAGAACAAGCATCTTTTATTTATTTGAGAAAAAACTTGTGGTCTTTCAAAAAAAAATTAAGGTTTCGGAGGTAGGTTTAAAAACCTAATCATAAATGGGATTATTATAATGTTTATAATTAATTCAAGTACTATGTATAAGGATTATGAACTGATTAACATTATGTTGTATCTATAACTGTATTGTAATTGACTGATCGTTGAATACCTAATTATAGATCAAAAGTTAAATAAGTATCGCCTGCTTAATTCTATCTGCAGAAAGTTTCCTGATTGTAATCGTTGCAAACAAATCATAGCATTCGACTGTTAGCCACTGCTATTTGTCCCTATTTCGTTACATGTATGAAATAGGGACAAATGGTCAAGTTACGAGTCTGTCGCTGCCCGACTGATATCAGCCAAGCAGTGCCACAGACTCATTTGTCATTATTTCGAAAGGGAAAAGGGCATTTATTTTCCAATAAAATAATCTATAATAAATGACGATGTATAAGTCCCGTAAATTGCTAATGCGCTAGAACCTTGTCTAATGCGTGACGTCATGAAAATCGAAAGTATAGATTGCACAAAAAATAAATTAATTATTGGAATATTAATGAATAATCTCCCAAAATATCGTCAAAATAATTTAATAATTTTTAGTTCGTTAATTTATTACTTGTATATTTGGGAAAGAATCATATTACATATTGAGGGACTTTAGATATTTTTATTTTATTTTATTATAATATTTATTAAGATATATTTATATGTAAGATCTTAACTTGTTCTGAAAATCATAATAGCAATTGATATTTTAGTCCACCATAACAAGTAACAACAAAACTTAATAATAACAATTGGAATTAACAAAATCACACATCAGTGTGATCTCAACACAACTCAATAAATGTTACTACCAGCTAACAGTGTTTATTTGTTAACGGTACTGATTTCTGAATGCAATTAAGTCATCAAAATGGCGGGCGGGCGCATTACCAATTTGCATGATCCCCGCAAGATCAAGAAGTAGTTTCACAATCCAAATGGTAGCTTTTCTGTATCAAGGGCGTAACATGTTCATAGGCATGCCCATTGCCCACCCATATCCCTAATTAAGTGGAAGGGTCCTGTACGCATAGCATGAACTCAAGAACGTTTTGTCTACACCCAAATGTCACTTCTCGGGTGCACCAATACGATATCTCACTCTTGACCCGAGAAAGTGACATTTGAGTGTAGACAAAACGTTCTTGAGTTTGTCATGCTACGCGTGCTGATCAAGAATTAATTTTATAATCGAAGTAGTTGCGTTGCCAGGCTGATACTACCTTAAAAGTGCTACAGACTCATTTATCTCTTGAACTATGTTACTTGACTATTTTTCCCCTATTTCAACATAGGCATTAGTGATGATGTGTTGAGTAGCTTCTTAATCCAAGACGGTGGCGTTTCTGTACCATGGGCCATAGAGGAGTAATATAGGTTGGAGTATTCATTAGGAAGATTTTAGAGTTGTCCTTAATAGGTGTGCGACTAACTCTATAGACATGGATATGGCATCTGAGCAAATAAAATGAAGATATTTTTTGTAAACGAGTTATGAGGAACAAGGAGAATTTGGCATCACGACAATGAAAAACCAAACATGATCAGAATTATTTATTGCTAAATATAATTTCATTGCTTTGATTACAATAGTTACATAATTATTTCACTTTACATACAGTTGTAGCAACTAACAGCGGTTAAATTATAATAGGTACAATCATTAATTACTTCTAGGCAAGATAGTGGAAGAATTTTATGCAATTCAAAAGTATGTATGATGCGATCTATAAATTCTATATTACCCTATATATACCTACAAGGTAACATTCATATCAACTGTATAATGGAATTTAATTCTAAAATGATTTTTTCGAGAACTATCATGAATATCTATTATTTTATTTAGTGCGAAATAAACTGGTGCAGAACAATATATAACTTTTAGCTTAACCTAGGTTTAATAAATAATACGTGTTAGAGATACACAAACATCTATCTGTTGAAATGTTTTTTATTAATATATTACATTCGAAATTGCAAGCAGCACAAGGAAGATTCTCATTTAATAAGCTGTTGATAGAAAAACAATGATTGGATATAACACAACACTTTAACAAACATATACCTAATTTACGGAACTTTCGGTGCGAATCAGAAATGCTGCATTTGTTAAGTAAGTGACTTTAGATACAAAAGTCATCAATTAATGTTATTTTGAGAGACAGTTTCATAAAATTCGTAAAAAAAACAATACGTGTACAATACAGTGTAGTGCATGGGTCGTCAACAAGAAGTTCGTTTCTTAATAAATTTAGCGTTATAACTTTTCTAATCTCTCTGTGTACTTTTTCTGCATCTTTCTATTGATTCTAAAAGCTATTTAAATAATGGGAATGTCGGACACCAACGTTTAAGCGAATCAGGAGAAATATAACCCAGGAGTGGGCTGTATGGCCTCATACATTTGCTATTATTTAAATTAAAATGGACATAAATTTTCTCTATACTTAAAATCACTTTGAAAACCGGACGCAATCGCATTTTTTATGTAATGTGGTATAATATATTAGAAGATTATGTCCCGAAATAAGTTTCAAATGTACAAACAATGATCACCACACATCTGTCTGGTGCTGGCATATTAAATTTAAAACAAAATAGTTTTTCAAGTATCGCAGCTACGTCACTATCATCATATTAATATAATAGTTACACACTTCACAATAAATAATTTAATATTATGATGCCCCAGTGAGTTTAAAATATTACACATAATTGTTTAGTTATATATGGATGAGATTCACTATTACTATATACATATAGTCTGCCATTTAAAAAATGATTACTATCAACTATTATGCTATATTACATGTTGCAATAAGTTCTGTTTCGCGTCACAGAACATAATTCGTATAGAATGGTAACAATCAATCCATATGCATATACCATATAGTAGTAAGCCTGTCAAATCGTTTTCAGTTCTGTAAACTAAGAATACAGAACTTATTATACTATGCAGGTATACTAATATATTTATTTTATAACATGTGACTACGGAATGACATTAAAATAAACTGAAAAATCTTTATAATATACGGTCGGTACATATCTGACGGAAGATGCGTTACGTATCGTTGGTCGTGCAACTGTGGTCTAATTTCAAAATCTATCGCAATGCCTATCGAATGTGGAACGATTGTAATAACGATTAATGGAAGTATATTACTTTTAAAGTAGCAATTCCAATTCCAAAAGGAACGAATGATTATTTTAAAGTTAGTTAAACCCGTCGAAAGATTGATTTGAGTCTAACACTTGCCTTAAACAATTCCAAATAACATCAAATTCACAATCATCGTTATTCAATCTTTAAAAAAAAACCGCGGTCCCAATTGCAACCGGATGTCAAATAGTTGTAGCGTGAAGTTCGTGAATATATGTCAAATTGAAAGGGACTGCGACAGATTTCCAAATTACATGATTATGCTAAGCTATGCTATTCTGTTAAAAACAACCTCAAGCTCACCGCCGAACTGTGCGCTGTCACGTCATAGAGCTAAATAAAACCTTTATTATATTTTAAACTAGATTGTGTTTGATTGCAGCTGAAGAAGTTCGACTACGACTTCGAGATGATATTAATAACAGAATAAGACTACTGTTGAATATATGACAATATGTTCAACCTTGCACACAATGGCGTGCTAACGCATACTTCCGTGAGACGCTTCACCGGTCATCCGTCAGGTTCTTCAGCGTGGTTACAACAGAATTGACACCATTATACACGATATTTCACGTTACATATACACAATTCAATACATCACGTTACTCTGGCTCATAATGCCGCTTCGTTTTCACAAAAATATCACACCCAATTCATACATTTTATTCATAAAAATACACTTCTATCGGGTATAACCCAACTTTTAAACATCACAGTCGAAGTAGGTGAATCAGTTTACATTTGACAGACGTAAGGGGACTTTGCCCACAGCACACGCAGGTAAGACCAATTTGTTAAAAAAATATTTGCCTTTAATAATCATACGTCAGCTTTGAGCTAACTTATTATAAATTATTTGCATCTGGATTTTTTTAAATGCTTTAATAGTAATGTCATAGTCGTAAACTTTTTCGCATTATTTAAAACAACGTGTTTCTTTTCGATTTATAAAAATAAATGTGTACAACTAGTTTTTTTCTACGCTATTATACTGAAGTAATATTTGAATATATCATAAATCTTACATTTATGTTATACTAGCTGAGATATTTATATTATAACTACTTATTCATAAGTTCAAAGTACTATTTAGTTACAATGGAAAGTAAATATAAGTATGTGGATTAATAACTATATAGCCATATATATTATACTTATGGCTTATATGAAGTGTTTAGCAGATGTATTAATTTTTTAAATAAATTTAATAAGGTTATGCTGTATAACGTAAACAATTGTGACGTCACAATGACCAGTATTATTACACACATATAACTAGCGGAAATTCAAAATGAAAACAACATGAAGCACGTATTTATATTTACAAATAAAATGTATGATGTAAAAACTCAAACAGGTCACTGCCATATCATGCTCAGTCGTTTCAAAACTGAAATAAACATTGAGAATAACCGGCAAATGATTCTAATGTACTGTTAGTCACAGAAATAAGATTTAAAGCTGCTAAGGTGATCGTTATTCAGCACTTGTAAGCATCGCAAATTGGTAAATCGGCCTATTTAATAATAATACAATAATATCTATGCAGTTTGATACCGCTACCTACAATGTATTCACATTTTATCATTATATAAAGCAGCTACGATTTATTATTTTATTTTTTGTATTTTTTTTTTCATTCGTTGCGATATTGCACTTACATAATTAATATATAAAGAATATTGTTTATCTATATTCTTTTAACAAACTGTCTTAAAGTTTTATTGGATACATATGATTTTTTTTTCAATTTTTATTCAGTTAGCTCAAGTATTTTCTGTAGAATTTCTTATAGAGAGTGGCGGCGGCCGAAACCCTGCACTATACGCCGATTGAATCCCAATTGGTTGACACGCGCTGAATTCTGAAAATATAAATTTATCTAATAAGTCATACATATGTTACGGGTTTTAGTGTAAGAAAACCGGGTAAAACTTGATACATGCGCACCGGTAAGTAGTTCGAGGAATCATCCTAACTTGTTATCCTAGCATATTTCTGTTTAAAATTATCATCTAACACTTTCAGTTTCACAGCGTCTAAAAGTTTCCAAACGGTTTGACTTTTTCTAACACTTTGAATAATTATTATTATATTTCAATAAATTTACATAAAAAATTATCAAATTTCAGTCAGTATTTTTGATTTTTATTAAATTTTTTATAAGTTTAAAATGACATTACCCATACAAATTTGACATTCATTAGAGCTTAAGGTGTCATTAAGCCTTAATGGACGTTTGTGCAACTGACCGTATATATATATATATATATATATATATATATATATATATATATATATATATATATATATATATATATATATATATATATATATATATATATCTACACATTAATGCAATTGATTACAGTAACAACTGATGTGGCTCACTAATGAACAGTGGTCGGAATTAGGTAGAGTTATTCATGTACTTACATTGATTTCATACAGCGAAAGAATATACCTCAAATCCCGAGATTAATTTTAAAGAGCAGAAAAAATCCCGTGATTTTTTAAATAAAAAGTTATTTACTTTTACACAATTTAAACTACTGCACGCACGACGTTGCCAAACTTACATCAATGACATCGGATGTCCAAAGAATTAGAAATTGTCCATTAGAAATCCCGGGAAGGTCCACATTAATATCATCATTTCGATGCAAGTACATAAATAACTCTACCTAATTCCGACCGCTGCTAATGAAGAATAAATATCGACCGATTAGTATCATCGTCCGATGCACCAATACCCACGCGCCTGGCCCACGCTGAGTGTGGTGAGTGAGGCGGACACTCAATGCACTGTATTTTACACTTTACAGTTATTGACACAAGACTCACAATAAATTTTAATCGTACGTTCGATCATCATCCGAGCTAGTAAGTCTACTTAGAACGACGAATATTCCTCAATGCGCCACATTAGTTAGAAATTAATAGTGAGGTAGTGAAGTACTATCATCTACTATAATAGTATAGTCACATAGCATGGGTACGGTGACGTTTGGAATTTGAAGCTTATATTTAATACATATTAAAAAAAATCTATGTATTAAATATTATAGAGATATACGATATTACAGAATTTATTTCTAATAGAAATAATCGATTGTGAGGTCAATCTAAAAAACAGGATTAAATAAAAATATTTATTCGTCAGCAAGATGAACCAGAGTCAGCAAAATCATTTGCTTCTTCACCTAAATTAATAATAACTTGAGAGTATATTATATTATATATATTATATGAGTAGCTCGGTGGCGTAGTGGATAAGCGCCGCGGCCCGCGATCGTTGTCATTAAGCAACTTTCGCAAGGGTCGGTCACGGGATGGGTGACCAAAAAAATTATTATCTCGAGCTACTCCGTGCTTCGGAAGGAACGTTAAGCCGTTGGTCCCGGCTGCATTTGCAGTCGTCAATACCCTCCAATCCGCATTGGGCCAGCGTGGAGGGTCATGGCCCATACTCCTTAGCCATCCATAAGGAAGGCCTGAGCCCCTGCAGTGGGGACGTAAAAGGGCTGATGATGATGACGATATTATGTTAATAAAATAGCCCTATCCTAGTCGTGTAGAATAAGACATGCATAGAATGTGTGTATGTATGTTACCAGACGCGTGCGCTCGGGCTAGGTGTCGCTGTAGTCCATGGTCTTGATGTAGGCGACGGCGGCGCAGAAGTGCGTCCACCAGTACAGCGCCTCGCCCTGCAGCGCCGCCTCGCCCAGCGCGTTCACCAGCTCGATGGTCGACAGCAGCGACGCAGGGTTCACCTGTGTACCGTACCATTCATCATCATCATCATATCATTGCGTCCCACAATCCAGTCAATATAATTTATTCTGTCTAGGCTACTCCGAGCACCTGTGAGAGTCGAAACTCTATGCCGTCGGTTCGTAAATCTATAGCAAGAGACCCTGCGCCGAAAACTCCCTAAAGTATTGTCCAGAAGTATTTAAGTTTTGTAGTTATATAGATTTCTAACATTTAGCAACATCAAGCACATCTTAAAGATGTTTAAAGTACAAATTATGATTTTCTTTATGTGATCTAAAAGTGATTTTATTTTTATCTAATTGTGCAGAAGATGGTCATATGGTCCTAATATGAAATGAGAGATTTTGTATGCATATATTTCATTTTAAAGGGAAATCGTTTGTAAAAGTTAAGGTCTATCCCATTGAACTTACACCATCTTACAAATTCATCAAGATCGTCCTGAAGCATAACTGAGTTCTCCATAGTGTTGATCACTTTCCCTATGTTAAGCTCATCTGCATACTGTGTTTTGAAAAAAATTGTCTAGTATCATTGGTATACCCGCGATCGGGTATAACAATAGTAAACAAGATCGGTTCCAAATGCGAACCTCGAGGTACACCAGATGTTACTTTCTAAATTTTTAAGTTAAACCCACGTCGAACGTCTTAAAAAGAACGATATCCGAGATAATTACCAACTTAAAAATTATCATTTGAGATGAAATATGCCGGTCGCCCATTTCTTCAACCAAACTTAAGTACATTATCGGTCAAAAGCTTTGCTAAAGTCCGTATACACAATATCATTTATTTAATAGAACTTATTCAGTCCTTATTTCTTTGTGAACCAACTGAAATTTAGTGATTTTGGGTGTAATCGCCCTCTTAATGTTATCATTATTAAGAGTACAATCCCTCTATATGGATAGAATTAAAATGGGAGAGGAAGCCGTAACCCACCACGCCTGTCAGAAATTAGGTGGGTATTAACATCTTACAGATGCAGCAGGAACCGACGTATTTGGGTTTGACGTACAGTCAGCGTCATAATTATCGAAGCATCAATTCTGCAAATTAATTTATTTAATTAACTTGTCTCTAATCAATTTGACCCGCTCCGAATATATATTAGACATTATCAGATACATTGCTCAGAATCCAAAACGAGAAACTAAAGCCCGCGTATTATGGAGTGTCAGAGACAACGAAATACCACAACACCCAAACCCGATATATTATAGAAAAGTTCAATTTCTACATTGCCCCGACCGGGAATAGAGTTGTTATTCGCTTCGATAATTATGACGCTGACTGTTACCTTTTTCGAATTTGAATAAGTAAAGACATATCATGGAGCAACAATATATGCTAAAAGATAATATTAATTAAAACAAACTACATAAGAAAAATTATTGTATAGAAATTATTAACAACTGTTGTAACACATCATATATCCCTCACCTTAATGATAACGTAGACGAGGACCGGTGTGAGGTCATCAGCGGAGGGAGCTTCGCCCTCTGTCAGTCCCAGCACGGCCATGATAGAGGTTACACACCGCATGATGCAACATAACTAAATAAACAAGGACACTTTCTATATTATTTTATCAAGTATCTTTCATTCTTAATCAGTTGCACAAACGTCATTTAATGTCTGTTCTTTTGTATTTATCATCGTTTCCGCAGGTATAAAAAGGTTTAAATTTTGATTTAATTCTAAATCATGAAACGTGTTTGTTTTTCTGCAACATTTCTGTGGCTTATACAAATTAAAACAAACACAAGTAATTTTACAAACAGAGTAGAATAACCTACTATACGATCTCACAGCCGCCATTTTCGATCCCTAGTAGGTTTTACGTCCCCATTGCAAGGGCTCAGGCCTTCCTCATGAATGGGTCAGTGGGGACCAGCTTAACGTGTCTTTCGAAGCACGGAGCAGCTGGAGATATTAATTTCGGTCACCCATCCGGTGTCCGACTTTGGCGAAAGTTGCTTATCACCAACGATCGCGGGCTGCGGCGCTTATGATATGATAATTCTTATTGCACTATGAAACAAATCCAAAAAGTAAAAGCCTTATTGCTAAGGTTGCAATCTCTACCAGGCGACCCTAAGCTAAAGGAAACGATACCAATTATGGAAATTAACTGCGGGTTAGTGCATTGGGAGAAATAACACATGAGAATATTTATAAATACAAATACATAATCTAAAATATACGATAATAAAGTAGCAGATATAAAATAAATAATGATGTTTCTTTATTAACATAAGCGACCAATATATTGAAACAGCCTTTTAAAGTAGTTTAAAGAAAAAAAAGAGCACTTGTATCATGTTTGTTTCTCTCCAAACCTTTGCGCTTTAAATCATAAACGACCAATAATAGTGGTTGGATTATAATAGACGAACCAGCTTAGTATAGTGCAAGTTCAGTAAGAATATTCTAACTTGAGGAAACGTTCCGTTATCAATTTAATAAATGAGTTCCGTATCTGCACACGTCTAAGTGAGTTCCATCGTTTGATTGCTTCGACAGAGAATGACTTGGCTACGTAATCAGTATTATGGGTGCCACCCACTAGTATATGTGTGACGTTACGAAATCAGTATTGTGGGAGGGGGGGTAGCCACCCACTAGTATATATGTCACATGCAAGTATATGTAGAGTGGTTGCTGACCTTGTCCCGGGGCGTGCGGTAGACCGGCAGATGCCTGAGCAGCAGCTGCGCCCGCGGGAAGGGCGCCGCCCACACGTGCCGCGGCCGCACGCCCGCGCGCGCCGCGCTCGTGCACGCGCCCAGCCGACGGATGTGCTCGCTCAACACCCTAACCGATGCGGAATATGCACACGTTTTAAAAATATCTTTATATTAAACTAGTGGCCGCCAGCGACTTCGTCCGCGTTTTCCATTATTTCTTCGCTCCTAATAGTTGTAGCCTAAAGCTTTCCTCGATAAATGGTCTATTCAACACAAAAATAATTTTTCAATTCGAACCAGTAGTTCCTGAGATTAGCGCGTTCAAACAAACTCTTCAGCTTTATAATATTAGTATAGATTTCATGCAGCATATTGACAGCATAGTATCACGTGGCTGGAAAATATTAGGGTTTTTAAAGCGCAACTGTGGAGATTTTCAGAATATTAAAATAGTGATTACAATTTTCAACGTCTTGGTTCGTAGTATTTTAGAATATGCTTCACCCATATGGAACTTTATCTATGAAATTCGTGTCCAAAGAATAGAGCGTATTCAAAGAAATTTCACTCGTTACCTTGCCCATCGTTACCGAACTTGTCCCTACGATTTCGACTATGATATCCGACTTTTACACTTAATTCTAACATAATTTTATATGAAATGGAAAAATAAATAAATACTAGCTAACCGCCAGCAGCTTCGTCCGCGTGGTGCCTAGGGTTACCGATACATATCATAATGACATGGATATAATTACAATGGCAAATTGAATATTAAAAAATAGTTACTATGGGAACGATTTAATACCACTCCCATTTTCATCCCTTTATTATTGTTTTTCAGATTATAATATAGCCTATGTTCACCGCATATGATGTAGCTTTCCGTAGGTGAAAGAATTTTTAAAATCCAGTCCAGTTGTTTCGATGTCTTTTCGTTGCAAACAAACATTCAAATCTTTTCTCTTTAAAATATTAGTATAACACTGATAGCGTTACATAATTGTAAAAAAATATCTGTCACAACTACGAAGACTTTGCACGCCGAAGGAATTTTCGGCGCGTTCGTCGTGACGTCAAGGTAAGTGAGATTTAAAGATATGTCATTTTAAATCGGTTAGGATTTTGAGTAATTAATTATGATTCTATTAACAATTCATCTTAAATTATAATGTAATGTTGTTTATTTTGCGACATAATACATTGATTCAATTGCCATTCATAACTTTTTGTAACAACGACATCCCTATATGTGTCCAATTTCGTCACATCCGTCCTGACAAATAGCATTGCGTTTGTGTATTTTGGATTTACCGTAATTTTCTTCACTTTATAATAATCATTTTCAAGATGAAAACGAACATATGTTGAAATCTATTTATATAGACTTAATTCTAAAACGTTAAAGAATCTAAACAGAAAAATAATAATAAATAAAGGTTGTGTTATACTGACTGGTCTCGTGCTATATCGCCGTCGCCGTTAGGGAACAGCACATGCAGGTAGAGGCGGCTAAATGCTGCCCGCTCCACGGTCACCTCCACTGTCTCTAGCGCGGTTGACGACGCACCTGATGACATAACATTATTATTTGCTTCCCCCTGTTGCATCTTTAGAGTACGACAGAACATTATTATTGGAAAGTAAATGCAGATGCAGCTTTAGAGTATTTTTTTTCTTCATCTTGGACATTTCTTCCTGTTTTGTAGTTCCTTGGACATTTCTACTTGTAACCGAACAATGAAGGCGGTGTGGGTATCATTTAAAAATTAACCTACGTCTAACGATAGTTATGGCGTGTATTCTAACAGTGTGCTGAGGGCAGCCTCTCTACTTTCCTGACCGTAAATACTTTGATCTAAGTGGCATATATCTTTCTATTAAAATTATAAGGCTTAAGTGTCTTTCTTAACACAGAACTTGAAGCCTAAAAACGGCCATAGTTATAGAAACATCTAATACACCCAATCCTTTTATTCTTCTTCCATGTTTCAAGTCTTCCCTTAACAATCACGTCTTTCGACACAATTAATTTACCATAGTTTATCCATTTTCTTCAGCATCACCATTATAAACTTTAAAAAGTACGCTGAACCTGTGTGCGTAGCTTTGACCTGTTTTGTAAATAATGAGATGGACGAATAGAAAAAACATATTATATAAAGAAACATCTTCAAGTGTGGTCTTAATAATTGACCCCGAAGGTTCTTCAACCGTAATGCTAATATTTACACGGTTTTTCAAACGACATCGCAAATAACCCGTATGTGATTGTTTATATATAACTTACCATCCCACGAAGGGTCTGCTTTCACTTCGGCCGTAATGGCCTTTATGCTTGCAGTCAGTCTTGAAGCTTTTTCATCCATCAGCTCGCCCCCTGAAAAAATATATTTAATTAATGTATCAAATTCGCCGCCTTCGCGGAAATCAGAACTTAGTGAATCTTAAGAGCGTTGTCGCTTCATCCGTCAAGTCCATCATATTAGGTTGGGGAAAACTTTCTCGCATATAGTATGCATAAACTTGTAATAAAATCTTTCTGGATATAACATCTGGCTGGTTTAGAAATCGATTTCTAATATTTTCATCGCCATATATCCAGTAATAAAACAACTTTTAAACGGTTTCATAGCGTCTGTATTTGTAAAAATTAAAAAGATTTAATTTTAAAGAGGATAACTCCGCGATTTAGAATTTTAATGAAGAGAAGATAACAGTAAGAACTATGATAAATAACGAATGATCTCATGAGGAAAATCTTACGTTATCCTAATTTGAATTCGGAGTTATTTTCACAGTAAGAACTGTGAAAAATAATGAATGATCTGATGAAGAAATTCGATAAATTTTAAAATTTTATTACATAAAGGTAAAAATGCAATGCAAGCCGCGAAATAAATTTGTTACGTTTATGGACCTAATGCAGTTTCTGTAAGCACAAATTTATATTATGTGTATTAGTAATATATCAAGTTTATTTAATTTTTCCTCAAACGCGCAATTACTAAACCGAGAAGCAGCGACAAAAATTAAGTTTATATTTTGTAGGTACAAAAAATACACGTGATTATAGTCTTAAACTTCACCGTGTGACTTCACAAATATCACGTGACCAGCGCCATTACATAGAGCAGGGAATTTGCGCAATTTTGACAATTTAAACTTTAACAATTACTTTCATCGACTATTTTCGATAAGATTCTAAAGAAATATACTGACATAATGTACTGTTTATAATGTACCAAGCAACCATTTAAAATAGTTTTCAGAAAAGTGTCAAATACTCTATCAAGGATTATTTATGGTGCAGCACGTATCATATGTGCGTCATGTGCGTACGTGCGTGTACGTGCGCGTGTGTGGTGCGTGCGCGCGTGTGTGGTATATACCACATGTACCGTGTATGCTATGGTGCCTGTGGTGGTGGTGGTGCCTCGCCAGCCGCCTCATGGCCGGCCCCCGCTCGAGCTGCTGCAGCACGCGGGCGCCGGCCGCCGCGCGGACGCACCACATGCACTCGCCGCGCACCACGGTTATCTGACTGCACACACATACACATACACACGTCGACTCTAGGATCTTAAACTTTTTATTAATACGAGTGTAGACAAATTTTATATTTTATTTTATAGATAAACATAAAATACATCCACAATTATGTAGAAAATCATTCAAAAAGAAAAAAATAAAAATATGTATTCGTTTTCGTCTACTGTCTAGACCCGTATTATGAAGAAAACTGTGACGGGACTGAAGATTATTCTAATCAATCATCATAAGATTCAGATTTGAATCATTCTGTACACGCGACTTAAAGTGAACGCAAGAGAGGCACTTATAACGAGAACGCGACAGAGGCGCGTCGCCAAAGATATGGGGCGGACCAGACGCGGCCGGCTCGGCGCCGCTACCACGCCAGTTGGAGAAAATTGTAAATAGGAGCTGTGCGCATGGCTCATTACGCACGATCATGCACACAAACATTTTAAAACTTTCACTGTCGATTATGTTAAAGACAATAAATTGTTCTATAAAGAACAATTATCAATTATCATCATTAGTTCCATCGTGTATTTCTGTACCCCAAAGGTTGACTGGTAGAGAATGCTAATAGCATTAACTCCGCCTCTTGTACCAATTTAATGTACAATAAAGTTTGTTAAATAAATAAATTAAGCCTTCGCAAGTTTCATTCTCCGCACCATTTGGCGTGACAGGAGTAAACCCAAGATTTGCAGCGTGATGTTGTAGAGTCTAAAGCCTTCCCCGATAAATGGTCTATGCAATACAAATATAATTTTTCTATTCGAACCAGTAGTTCCTGAGATTAGTGCGTTCAAACAAACAAACAAACTCTTCAGCTTTATAATCGCACGACGACCTCCGTAGCCGAGTGGTTCGCACGCCGGTTTTAAGGTGTCGCCATCTCTGAGGTCCCGGGTTCGATTCCCGGTCGGGTCAATGAAGAAAATGAACTTTTCTATATTGACTCGGGTCTGGGTGTTGTGGTACCTTCGTTGTCTCAGATACTCCATAATACGGGGGCTTTAGCTATACTCATCTAGGAATCTGAGCAATGTATGTGATGTTGTTGAATATTTATTTATTGATTTATAATATTAGTATAGATAGGCGGCGACACCTGTACTAGTAGTGTAGAGAGAGAGAGAAAGAGATAGAGCCACGTACGTGCGCAGAGTGCGTGCGGCGTGGGCGAGGGCGGCGCGGCAGGAGGCCAGGTAGGTGGCGTAGGGGCGGCGCGCGGCCAGGTCGGCCCGCAGCGCGGCGGCGAGGCGCGGCGCCGCCTGCGGGCACAGCGCGCGCGCCACCGCGCCCGCCACCGCCGCGCCCGCCTCGCAGCTGGCGCTAGCGGCCGCCGCGCGCATCCACTCCACCAGCGACGTGCTCGTACACCTCTGAACAATAACCGACCGACGCCACGCACATTACCAGACCGTAAGCTTCGGGACAACGTTCAATTCAATAAGGCGTAAGCGTGTATGTAGACGAATCAGAGGCATGAAAAAAATTAAAACGGAATAGCACCGGCAGTTGCAAATTCCGGACGAAATTCGTGCCAAGACTACATAAATCGTCATATAAGAAATATAAGGAATTATAAGCTATATAAGGATTTTTCCTGATTTAATGAAATGTGGTAAAATAATCATACATTTCAAGGCAGGTGACAAGTCTGACCCCAGTCATTTTAGATCGATATCTATACTACCAGCAGCCATAAGCACAGTATTTAAGAAAATTGCTTACACACACTTTGTGTGTGTGTGCGCGTGTGCGTGCGTGCGTACGTGCGTGCGTGCGTGCGCGTGTGTGTGTGTGTGTGGGGGGTGAGTTACTATAGAAGTGCATGTATCAGAAGGAAAATGAAAGTGCAACTATCGAGGAGATATTAGTCATGATTTTATTACTATTGTAATAATTATTATTTTGGTAATGACATGACTCATGTAAATGTGACTTCTGATAATGAGCTGGTACGTTTCTTTCACTCATTCTTCTTGTCAGCCAAAAGACATCCCGAACGATTAAAATTCTGGTATTTTTAAATGTGTTTGTTCATTACTTATTTGAATAAAAAATATCAATTTTCAATCGGAACCATACAAAAAGTTGTAAGTTTTCCACAAAAATATAAAAAAAGAAAGAAAACCACTTACATTAGGTACATATTCGACACCGTATATGTCGGGGTTTGACAACACCATCCGCAGCTTCCGTTTCATACTATTGAATACTTCGGGATCGTTTAGATCCACGACGCCTTCGGACCTACACAAATCAATACTCAGTAAAAGCGCGTTTGAATGTGTTAGGAGTCCATGTAGTAGAGTAAGGAAATGAGGCCTTTGAAGTCTCGAGCACTTATTACCTTATGAAACTAAGTCAAAAAATATAAGGCTGCATAGAAAAGTATGCATGAAAAGATTTATTTTTCTTTAAAATTATGTCATTGTTTTTAAGAGTAAAAGGTCCCGGTTTGATTAATTTTAACCATAAATTTATAATTGCTAATAGCAGATAAATAATTCTATGATTGAAGAAGCTGCATAACGTGACATTAAATAAAATTGACATTGGCAGTACAGGGCAAATCATTACATACTCTTTTGGTTTATTTTTGACGACATAAGATAAAAGTTGAAATAGGGGATGATTTTTATAGAAGTCAGTTTTCGATGGAGGGGTCGTGAGCAAAAGTCAGTTAAATATAACGCGTACTTGTCGAAGTCCGCGTCGAGATCGGAGGGTCGTCTAGCGTTGCTGGGGCGTCGTTTAGCGGGCTCGGTGTTCACGCGCCGATACTTTGCCAGTATATCTTCGGAGCTCTCGCCCTCGCGACATCCGTCGTCGCTGCGGATTTCCTCTTCGCACACCTTAATCTCGGCTATCAAACAACGTATGTATTTAATTTTTGAGAAAAATCCATAAAATAGCGTACAATGACTTACATGAGGATTCGAATATGAATGTTTTAACCAATTAAGCTAACAAGACCTCAATGAGACTGTTTAATTTTCTAAGTATTTTCTAATGTGACTAAATAGGAAAGAAATATACGAATGATTAAACATGATACAGAAGATTAAGTTATTAAACCTTAATGAATGTTTGTGCAACTGAACGCATGTCGGTTAGCTACAAAAGGCCAAAGATGGGTGTATATTATCTGATGGAAGATCTGTTGTATATTATCTATTGCGGAACGTCAGAACTGCCAAATTATAATAAGTACGAATTGGCTACTTGACATTAATACCAGTTTATTATGAAATATGTTGGAAGTATATATTTTTAAATAAATTACAAGTTTTATTTTTGAAAGGTCAACTTTGATTTATATAATCTGAGAATTTCAAGAAACGAAACGAGGGCCGCAATGACGGGACATAGTATGACGTGAAATACCAAACGTCAACTTCTTTGTTGCGAGTGCAACCAACACGTATGTTTAATGAAATGTGACGTCATGGTTCGCAATATCAAGTGACTGTTTCGAGGGATTATTTAAATTAATTAAAATATGTTTTTACTTTTTTTAATAATATATTAAAAAAACAAATAGCAGTTAATATGATCATCTGAAAGTTTTAAAATACTTTTCTCCGAACAGCCAAGTAGCCAATTGAGTGCAAAAATATGGCCATTACTACAACAGCTCAGCTACAGCTAGTGATGAAAATTAAATAAATAATTAAAGATCACGCGTGTGTGGGTATAGTGTTGTTACCATTATGATGTGTCTGCGCACGTCCTTTCTGTCGGAACATCTTGATCTTGTGCAGAATGTTGCCGCCGGATCGCTTCACGTTGTTTTTCAACTCGTCCAGGTTGCCCGCTAGACTCTCCTCCCCTATTATTCTACGTCTGTGTGTTTGCGGCGAGAAGTAATAAATTAGTAGGTATTCTTTAAGTATTTTGTAATTAAAATTTAACAGCGTCAGGATATACAAATATGACTTTACTCAATCGATTTTAAACCTTATTACATAGAGGCGAGGTAAAATCCATTGATAAAATTGACAAAATATGGTATCCTGACGTGCAGCCATGTGTACTTTCGAAACTGTAAGACATATTTGGAGACATAAAAAAAATCGTATAATAACCTGTTCTGACTAAAACTATATTCTAAAACTAAAATATTAAAAATTATATTCCACTTTGGGCGATAATAAAATAACAGTTGAATACTGTTATAGTGACTTATTGGAACTATTATCACCTTTGTGACTTCTCAGCGGTGGCATCGAAGCTGATACTCTTCGGTATCGCCCCGGTGGAGGGCAGCTTGGGCGGTGGGGTGATGCGTCTCTCGGTCACGTTCTCGCTATTCACGTCCTGACTGGAGCTCTTGTCCGACGCGGACGTACCCGCAGAGTTTACAGACAGCGTGCTCAACGACACGTTACTGGTGACACCGCCCTCCCTTTTAAAACATTCATTCGCTTACTTACTATTTTAAAGTCAAAGTCAAAATAATCTTTATTCAAATAGGCTTCTTAAAAGTACTTTTGAATCGTCCAACATTTTTTTCCCTACCGCTCGTTCAGGACGTCTTTTAAATTTTCATGATCCAGCTCGAACGACTATGTTAAATTTAAAGCTATTTCTACAGTTTAAATATGATGGTGGGCCGAAGAGCTTAGAAAGAACACTAAATTGTAACATGCATATCAACAAACTAATATCGTTACAACTAAATAATGTGAAAGATCGTGTCACTGGAGTAAACCTCTGATGTCGCATTATATTGCTAGAAACTAAATACAAACAGAACATTGTACGATGGACCCAGATACACAGTATGGGAAGAAAAGACAAAAAAAAATATTATTATTTCTATTTCAACCTAAAATGTGAGAAGAAATCATATTCCCAGTAATAAATAAGCGTGGTTAGGGTTGCGCATTGCATACTAAACTTTAACAATTATATATTTATACCGTACATAATTATAATAATAAATACATAAATATTTTAATATATAACAAATACATGAATATATGAAAATAACAATAAATTTACAGATCATATAGCGATATTTTATAATTTATATAATATCGTAACATGATCTGAATTTACCTTTTCTTTTCGACTCTGGACGAACTTATGCTGACGATGCTCGTCCGAATTTCAGATTTCACGATGCGCGACGTGAGATTGTTCACCAAGTTTGCCGAAGTGGATATCGTTGCCGAACTCATCCTGGTCATCAGATCCGTTATAGTGGACCTCGACTCAGGTTGCTCGGTGTCTATGCCCGAATCGTACCGCCTGTCGTATTGAGATACGGACAGCGCGTTGAATGAACTCTCGCTGGAGTTGAGGGATCGGTCCATAAGTTCATTGTCCTCGTACGTTTTGGACGTGGACGGCATGTCGTATTTGGACGTGGACGGGAACGGGCGATCGGGCGAGTGTTGGGACGCGGGGAAACTGTCGTCCACCCATTGGCTGGTCGCGTCCGATTGGCTGTTCGCGCCCTCCAGTGTTGACTCCGTTTGTTCGCTGTTGCTATATGAATAAGGCAATCAAAAAGTTTATATGTAATTCGTAGATAAAGAAAGCGGCGCGAATCGTATCGCTCTTTTAGATCCTTGATACCAACCGCCTAAAATAAGATAATTACTTTTATTATACTGTGTTGGGTCTGTGATTATGTCTTATGTTTATTTATTATTATTACAAGTTTAGTAGGTACTTTATTGTCGATGTCAATCGTGTAACTTTAGGGGACGGTGTATAACACATACTTCCGTGAGACACTTGACTGATATTTCATCCGATTTTTATAAAAAATTAAACAATAGGTTTTGAATGATCACTCGTAAAGACCGTAAGTAACGATAAAGCTGTGCAAACCCATGACATTGTTATCATATACGTTAACTTACCCGTTTTGAGATCCAAAATCGAATACGTCACTTGGAAGTTGCGCAGGAGTTGATGTACTCGGACTTTCAGGCGCTGACATTGCGTAACATGTCATCACCTGATGAGAGCGTGCGTTATATAAAATTTAGATAAAATATACATACTTAACAATTTTAATTAACCTAGGCGTATGTAATTGAAATAACACATTTGATTTGATTTTATACAATGCAATTTACTTCGCTTCTTTCTCTAACCTGCAGGCCTAATGCGTATAATAAGATACAACTGGTATGGGGTCACTGATGTACACTATGCGGAAGGCTAAGTATCGAACCGCGGAAAATGTCTATCAATCGGAATTATTCACGTATCACCACACCATCGGGCGATCCACCAATATCTACATGACTTCTTCTTCTTCTGAGAGCGAGTGAGAAGTTGTATTTTCCACCTCAGTTGGAACTTACATAACTTTATTACATTGCCATGATTGACATCGGGTTTCAGATTCAGACAATGTTTAATACTGTATTCAACGAGTGCATTTGATTTAATCGAAAGTGAACTCTTATATCTAACAATAGAATTTGAACGTAGATTATAAGTCCAATGCTAGCCTGACCAAATCGATATCAATGTTGTCACGCTATAGGCGAGCAGGCGAGTGGTCTTTCACTGAGCTAATAGAGATCTATCGACTCTGATGAATCCTTAGTACTTAGTTACTTTACCTGTTTCCATCAATGTTTAACTAATTTGATTGATATTTTAAATTAAGATGTAAAAGAGTTTATAATATTTTTTCATGAAATTTGTATTTACAAAGATATTTAATTTTAATTAACTGAGAAAAAAGGAAACCAGTCAACACTGATCAACTCTTCTCTCTATTTAGAAACAAAATAATTATGGATCACTCTATGAAAAATATCAATATATTTTAAATATAAGTTTGTTTCACGCTATTTCAATGTCACATTCTAGGTGTGATAATAATAAATGAAATTTACCGGGAACCCGTTGACAAGTATGCTCTTTCTGTTTTCAACGAACTGGCCGGCGTGTGAAGGTAGGTCTAGTTCTCCGCCGCGAGATAACGCAGCCGTAGCACTTAGATAACCACCGCCCCTACATGGAAATTACGACTCTATTACAAGTACAGTAAAACGTATTATTACTTAAATAGGCAATAAATAGCATATGAGTAGCTCGGTGGCGTAGTGGATAAACGCCGCGGCACGCGATCGTTGTCGTTAAGCAACTTTCGCAAGGGTCGGTTACGGGATGGGTGACCAAAAAATTATTATCTCGAGCTACTCTGTGCTTCGGAAGGCACGTTAAGGTGTTGGTCACGGCTGCATTTGTAGTCGTAAACACCCGCCAATCCGCATTGGGTCGGAGTGTTATGGCCCATGCTCCTTAACCATCCATAAGGAAAGCCTGAGCCCCTGCAGTGGGGACGCAATAAAGGGCTGATGATGATGAGGCTACAAATAAATACCGTGCAATATTTAGACTTCAAATATTGTTTGAAATTCAACATTTTTACTGAAAAAACATATTTTTTACCTGTTAGTAAAGTTAGGTCGAGGGGCGTGTCTTGGACTGCCGACGTCAGGTCTCCTGGTATTACCATTCTGTGATAACAGTAATTACGTAGTATTAATCACGTTAGAATATGAAATAAGAAAAGAAGGACAATTAAAAAAAATAACATACAAGCCATAATATTTATTCAAAACAGCCATCAAGTTTATATCCAGCTCGAAGGACTAAGTATCTAATATAATGAAACTATAATCACTACAGTAACTACTATCATAATAATAGTTTCACTATCATGTGCCTTATTTTTATGAAGAACAATTACCCTTATAAAAATGTGCTGATTCCCACGAACATTATGTACGTTCATACGTATAAGTATAGACTAAAAATAACTTGAGCATGAATTTGGTGTAATTAAGCATTAAGATATTATCAATTAAATGTAAAAAACAGTTTTACGCATTAAAATCTGTTATAAGCGGCAAAATAAGAATACTACTTATTGTCTAAGTCTGAAAATCATTATTTAAAAGCGAAATTTACCTAATAAAAAAGCAATCGCTAAATCAAACATTACCGGTTTTGCGCTTTTTAAATTTTTAGAAAATACTTTTTTAGGAAATTTCTGTGTCGTAATAGGTATTAGTATAACAAATTTCAATATATGAGTGAGTCACCGTTGCTTTGTATATAAAACATGTTTAGATTTCTAAAAGGCAGAACGTATTATGTTTATTTTGACTGCAAATAATTTGTTAGTATAGATGTCTGTGTATCTCTATCCCATTCTCTCTCTCTCTATCTCCTTCTCTCTCTCACTGTGCGTATAGGTACCTGCGCGTGCGCGTGCGCGTGCCTGTGTGGTTGCGTGTCGTCATGTGTGGAGGGGCGGCGCGGCCACGACGTGTCCGAGCGGGCCGCCACCGACACGCAGTCGTCAGTGTCCACCTGGGCAATCATTTTTTTTATTTTCATTACCTTACTAACTGTTTTCCCGCGACTTCGCACGCGTTTATTATAGCCTATATCAACCCCGTACGATGTAGCTACACGCAGGTGAAAGAATATTTAAAATCGATCCAGTAGTTTCGGAGCCTTTTTATAATATCGGTATAGAAGTGTAGATTTATTTTTTACATTCTACATTAGGGGTCGGCGATCTGCGACTAATGAAAATGTAGTAAAATTACATATGCAAAAATGCAACAGTTGTCGTCTAGGTTGAAACTATTAGTTAGCAACGAGGAGCTCGATTACTCAGTGGTTAACGCGCTCAATCTGCGATACGCTTGTTAGGCTACTTTAGCAAGGGTCGGCCATAGGATGGGTGACCGAAACTATATTATTTCGAGCTCCTCCAGGAAACTTTTCTTTTATTTGGAACAATTTAACTGAAACATATCTCTGAGAACACAACATAGAACAACAACAATTCGGCATCATTTAAAAAGGTTCCAAGCTCACTCGGTTCAAAGTGTAAGTCAAATCCTTTTTATGTTAAATGCATATACAGCTCGATGGCGTTGTGGATAAGCGCCGTGGTCGGTAAACCTTCGCAAGGGTCGGCTACGAGATGGGTGACATTCATTTGCAGTAGTTAAGACCCTCCAATCCGCATTGGACAAGCATGGAGACTGGAGGCCCATCCTTCTTACCCATCCATAAGAAAGACCTGAGCGCCTGCAGTGGAGACTTAAAAATGGCTGATGATGATGAAGCGAAAAAAATAGTTCACAAAGCGTTGTAGTCACAATAAAATAATCATATAGCGAAATTCGTGTTATAGCTCTTAGGAAACGACGCGTTGTGGCAGTCACCGAATAACCACATGGCAAGATCCGTGTCGTGGCTGTCAAACTATTCGACCACAACTCATTGTAGCAATGAAGAAAAACCACGAAGCGTATTGAACCATATTCAATTATGTTAGATTAGAATATGACAAACAACCAGTAGCGAATCTGTTTTTTTTTTATAAAATGAAATTCTAGTTAAACCAATTAGTGCTCAGAATGCGACGTGGCTTTTCTTAATTGCCACAAAGCGTTGTGAACAATTTTTTTGATCTTTGAGCGTAACACGTATAAAAATATATATATATATATTGATTAAAATATGAATATTTATTTATCACCTCTGTGTTTCTGTCACTATCGGACGCTAACACGTCCACACTCCATGCGGACTCGCTCGCCGTCTCCGATACGTCCGGCGCGTTTGTGATGTTCGCGTTACCGCCTAACAAACATAACACTCATAACTGTAGTCGGGTTAAAGTTATAACTTGACTGCAAATAATAACTGAAGAAAATATATTAATCAATTTATAAGAATTTGAATGAAGAGATCTCAGAATTTGGAGTACCATTATTATTAGTTATTGGCAATTGGCACATTTCTTATTTCATTTAAATTTTCATCTATTGGTAAAAATTATTGCTTAAGTTATTACTTATTCTCAAGAAATGACTTCTACTCCACTATAGACAAACTCATAATAATAATAAATGGTTTCTTTCCTCAGATTACAAAAACAATACATTATATATATATATATATATATATATATATATATATATATATATATATATATATATAAAAAGGAAACTACAGAGACAAACGGTGGTGACTCAGCTAATGTTGAGCAAGACAATGTAAATTGTGAATATTATATTTATAATATTATGCAAGTAAATTGTGAAACATCGTGCTCAATGTTGATTGCTATATCTTTCTTCAGCACCTAATTACAGATAGTAAAAAATATAATCGAATATCAATCGAATTCGTATTGACTAATGTTGTCAAAATAAGATCAATAAAATATTATGAACCTCATTGTGAATGTTACGTCGGTGTATAATCTACGCATATATCCGTTATTTGTCGTCTTCGGCTCGCTCTTGCATATGCCGACCACTTATTTCTCAACTATACTATTCCCGATATAAAACTTCCTCTTAAACATGATTTTTTTTTTAATTTTATTATTTTTTAATTCGGGCGAGGGGGGGGATCCCTTGATCGCATACTTATTGTCCTAGGAGTCCGCGCACCAGAAAAGGATAGAAAACCCAGTTCTAGGTTAACCCATACAACCAGTTTTATTTATTTATTTATGTATACCGTGTAATGGTCACTTATACGTGAAACTGGAATAGTGGTTGGCACGAAGCAGCGATTTATAGGAAAAGAAGAAGTCCCAATTGAAATTGGGAAAAGATTAAAAATATTTTTTCAACTTTAATATTTGTCAACAGTATGCATTACCTTGATTGGCGGCGACTTGTGTCTGATCGCAGGAGTCGCCGATAGTCTCAGAGTCTGAGGCGAGCACGTCAGTACTCCACGTGTCAGACATTATGCTCACCGTCTCGTCGCCTTCTAGCAGTTTCTGGTAAACAAAAATACTCATGAACAATACGGACTAACGGAATGCGATCTGTTACTGTAAGGTCAGCAATGATATTCAAGAAGGACAGCAATAAAAGTTGATCGATACAGTGTTTTGTATCGAGAACACATGCGAATAATTAGTATTCAAATAAAATTATTTAAAGTACTTTTGAATAGTCTAAACTTTTTTCCCTCCTGGAAACGTTTTGGCTGATAAGAACGAGCAAGTACCGTATTCTAGCAAATAAACTATTCTATTCTATTCGAGAAACCGACCAGCTTTAATAGTAGTAACGACATTCATGAAAACCAAGTCATTATCAGAGCAATAGTGTACAGTGATACGGATATCGAACGCTATAGAATTAGGAGGGTAGATGGATATGTCGGTCAATGACATTGACGCACTTGTAACGAAATATCGAGGACTCATTACATCACCCAGTCTCAAGGCATTTTCTACACTGACCCGACCGGGAATCGAACCATATCGCGACAAATCGAAAACGGCGTTCGAGCCACCGCTACGGTGGTCATCATATTTACATGTCATGTAGACCATCCATAAGGAAGGCCTGAGCGCCTGCAGTGGGGGCGTATAAGGGCTTATGATGATAATGATGAGGTAGTTCACCTTTATCTCGAACTTGCAGAACTTGTCGTCGATGTCGCTTCGCGTTTGCTTCATCATCTTCGCCTGCGCCCCGCTAGCCTGACTCACCGGCGCGTTCGGCGGTAATCTAAACGAATATATACTGATGTACACACAAACAGTTCTATAACAACTAAACAAGCTATTAAGAATTGAAATCCATCCGAATTAGGTACCGAATATGTTGTATAAAGCGTTTTTATGGATTCAATTCCTATTAAAAAAGTTCCGATTTTCGTTTAAAGTATTGATGTTCGACACTTTAGTGGGTTAGATTAATAAAGGATATAAAATTAAGGTAAAAAAAAAAGGTTGTCAAAAATATTTCTTTAAGTTTCTTAGTAGTTTTATTAGTTTAAAAACGTTAAGATTGTTTTAAATATTTTATTATCAAATAATTATACAGAGTTAATTTAAGTTACCTGTGCGACTAGTGGCGCCCTCTCATCTAATATATATACAGTGCAACTATTTTATATAATTATGGATTCTAATCATTTGGAAATACAAATTGCGTGAAATGGAAAAATCTGTCAACGAACGTAACAGTACCTATGCTATGTGAAAAATAGTTCCGCGTAGATTAATGTACAGTACAATACAAATTTTGAAGTACATCTAAAAATATATTACGTTTTTTGTCTCTTACACTTAACCAATAGTTGAAAACGAAAATATTTATGAAATTATTGATGATTATTTGTGTTACAAAATTCGACATGATTTGTTTTAAGTTACGTAAATCATTGAAAGAATCAATGTAGCATGCGCACGCGGCTTGCTGTCTAATTGATTTGCAAGTTTACCAATATTTATGTTTTCAGAGAAGATTTCAGGTCATGAACTTTTAAAAATGTAACTGTACTTATATAATATATTAAGTGGGAAATGCACCTTTTCAAATGTTAGATATACTCAAAAAATATCCGTGTATATTGTACAAAACGTGTACCTGCGTGGCGGCGCATCGCCGTCAGTGACTTGCGACGAGGGCGTCTCCCGGCCGGATATGTTAGGGCTGCCACGCCCGCTCACATTAGCCGACACCTATTATGTTGACAATATATAAGCGATTATAGACAATATATATTAATCACTGTCAGATTTATTTTACTGTAAAGTGGTATCAGATAAAGGCAAAACATTAATATTATTTAAATTCAAACTGTCGCTTGAAAACAATCAGTCGCGTGACAATTGGAGCATTGACGTCACATCTCAATAAACATGGGTATTGGTTGCATTCGCAATAAAGACGCTGACGCCTAGTTTATAGAAATGTGACGTCACACCATACTCCTTAATGGCAGCGTTTTGGTTCTTGTAATCCACAGATTATAAATCGCAAATAATTTTACAAAAATAAAATGAATTAAAATTTATTTTGAAATAATAAAACTTTGACGTCACAGTCCAGTTCAAACTAGAGGTAATAAATAAAATTCGTGTGTGTTCTTCTTGATGGTGACGTAACGTGTCTGACAGAGAGGGGTGTATCGATATGTCTCACCATGTCGGATAGGTTATCGTTTTGGTCTTCGGTCTCCAGCTCCAGACTGGAGGTGACGCTATGATTTGAGGCAGCCTCAGAGACTGCCTCTAAGTTATCTGACGTGTTGCCCAGTGACACTTCATCATGGGACACCGAAAATCTGGTCAAGAAAATTTAAGATTTAGCCATTATCGTTTTATACATCGTATATGTACACGTAATATGAACATCGTATTTTCTTTTTTCAATAAGTCTTTAGAAATACCACGATTCAAAGGGACATTAAAACTACTAATTTGGGCCAAGATATGGCATCTAACTGAAAAAAGGAGAGGGAAGGCAAACCCCACGCAAATGGAATAAGGTCTAAGAGTTCAGTCTATCAAATTTATATCAGCCATTACATCTTTAAAGTGAAATTTAGTTAATATACCGTAACGTTTTCAAAATAAGGTGTCACCTGGTACGTTTCTGTACGGGAGCTCCTGGACCGGTGGCTGCGATGGCGGAACTAGCGTCGTCAGCATCGCCTGCCTCCGACCCTCCGTAGTAACACTCCAGTACTTTAGACTCGGCTACCAGACCTACGTATACCATACATCCAGTGTCAAATTTCGTTGTAGAAGTAGATTATATATTGAGTTTAGACAAGCCGATTCGTTCGGTATGTATGGCAGGAGATGTTGAACCGAGAGCAATAAATCATTTGTCATGATAACTTATATTTGGTCCTTCGAGCCGGATGAACCAGCAAACTATATTATACAAACAGATATTTGGATTAAATTAATACTAATGTTATTATTATCGGTTAACATACTAACCAACATAATCATTCTCCTCTGCATTGGGCAGCTTTATGATCATCACTTCGGGGTGATCCAGAACGACGTCTTGTCTCTCCACGGTACCGTTGACGGGTTTGTCATCAGCAGACAAAGCTACAGCTGAGCTGGAGCGAGGTAGACGTGGCTTGGGCACCTTCGCTAGGATGCTCCGTTTGTTGTGACCATTCTCAGTGATTGGTTCCCTAGGTTCAGTTGGTGAGATTTGCCTATAAAAGTACCGAATGTATTAACAGATTTTTCAATAATTATACAAATGCAATAGTTCAATATCGATCTGATCTGTTTATTTATTTTATCAGGAACATTTGTATTTAAATAGAAACTTAGTACGTTGTATTTTATGCCTTATAGTTATTCTGATGATATATCCAGTTAATCTAATTGCAGATTCACGATACGTCATATTTGTTGGGTATTATTGTAGCTCAGTATAGATGAATTGTTTATCGAACACGCTGATTCGCACTTTGCTCTCTAGATTGAAGGAAAATTACTGTTTTTTGGCTCTAACGACTTCATTTTGTTCTAATATATGTAAAGAAAACCATGGTTTTCTTATTTGGATTGTTCCGCGCTATTAGAAATGATTCATAGTCTGTGCAGGTGCTCTTTGGTCTGTGAGGAAAATTAAAAAGAAAGAGTAGCATAACCTAGAGAGGCGTATAATAATTGTAAACAGTAAAAATAATTTATAAAAGAAGTTTTATATTTGTAAAGATATAAGTTGTAGTGATTGGACATCGTGTTCAGTAACATTTAATGTCGTTTCTTTAACAGGTATGTAAGATTTTGACAATAAAAAACTTTACCTAATTTGATATTGTAAAATTTATAAAATAAATCTTTATCTTTAACAGAGAAACCCAATTGTGTTTTGCTGGCGGTGTCGTCTTAATTACACATACAAAAAAATATCTTATAAAACGACATTTTTGTCACAAAATGGAGAAGTTGAAATTTGCATTTCAAGTTAAACCAACAGTAGACGGAAAGTCAAACTTCATCGCAATAACATCTATCACCACACAAGACGACAAGGTTTTCCTTATCCCTGAAGAACATCAAGTAATATCACTTCACAAATACATTATTGCCACGAAAACCTATAATACAGTAAAAAATACATTAAAAAAGAGAAATCAGACTAGAAATGTTTGGATAAAAACAACAGAAGATATACTAAAAACGTATATCGATGAGGATAGCAACATGATTTTTCAAGATCAGTTTTTAGAGGAAACTACCCCCGAACAGATGTCTATTGCGAGTAAAATGTCTTCAGAAGATCCCATAGTAAAAATTTTGGAGAAAATGGTTGAAAATAAACAGAATGAAGAAAAGAAAAGTATGAAAAAGTTAGCTGAAAGATTTGTGATCGAAAAATTTAATGGAAAAAATACAAATGCATGCCAATGGATGGAAATATTTGAAAAAGAATGTGCAAGGTTCACTATCGTCAAAGAGGAAGAAAAGATCGAGATTTTCAGACTATTTCTAGAAAAAACATGTATTGATTGGTATTCTTCCATGATGATCAAGTTCGGTTTAAATTCTGAGTGGTCAGAATGGAAATCAGATTTTTTACAAACCTATACCTATAAAGGTTGGACTTCCAGCAAGTATGCCCTATCTTTCAAATATCAAATGGGTTCTCTATTAGAATATGCAGTAAAGAAAGAACGACTTTTACTAGAACTAAGGAAAACAATGGATGAAGGGACCCTAATCGATATAATTGCAGCCGGCTTACCAGATTTTATAACAGATCGAATCAACAAAGAAGAAATTGCTCATGCAAAAGACTTGTTCAATGAACTTGGGAAATTAGAACATTTGGTGCAAAGAAAAAGAGTCATAAGAAGGAAAGAAGACACTAAGCTAACTAAAGAAAAATGTGCTATTTGTGAAAAACTAAATAAAGGTGTACGCTATCATTCAGAAGATTCCTGTTGGTTTAAACCAAGAATAAATACTGAAAAGGATAGAAAACAAATTAAGCTTATCAACAATTCAGAGTTAGAATGTGAATTGCAATGTGAAGATCAAAAAAACTAATAGTGCCGCCATTGATCAAAGTAAAATTAGTAATCAATAAGAATGTTGAAGTATTAGGGATCTATGACTCAGGTTCAAATGTTTCATTAATAAATTCTAAGTTGTTAAATATAAAAAATAAGGGAGAAACTATTTCTAACGATACTAATTTAAAAACGATTAATGGCGTTAAAAAAGCTATTGGAATGGTTATTCTAGACATAGCCATCTTTAATATAAAAAAAAAAATTAATGTTTTTGTAATAGACAAAGAAAATTTCGCTTATGATTTTTTAATAGGACTAGATTGTATAAGAGAATTCTACCTAGTTCAAGATGAGGACTTAAAAATTAATCAGAAAATACCTATAAAAAGAAGTGAAACAAACATAGTTGATACTGATTCTAAGAATATAAAATCGGATAATGTTGTAAACTACAATGAAGATTTCGGAAAAGAAGATTACAAATTTTGTGTTAACCATCTAGACTTCCAGGAACAGGCAGTGATAGATGACTTAATATCTAAAAACAAATCTGTGTTCGCAACGGACAAGTATGACATAGGACAAGTAAAGGATTATGAAGCACATATTGATCTTCAAATAGAAAAATACTGCAGTAAAAGGCCATATCGTTGCACAATAGAAGACAAAAAAGAAATTGAAGAACAGGTTGCAAAATTACTAAAAAAAAATATAATAGAGGAATCATATAGTCCATTCGCAGCACCAGTCACTTTGGCCTATAAAAGAGATGAAAATAAAAAATCAAGATTGTGCATAGATTTTCGAGACTTAAATAAAATAGTTATACCTCAGTCACAGCCTTTCCCGCTTATTGAAGACTTAATAGTAAAAACAAGAGATTGCAAGTATTTTTCAACACTAGACCTTAATTCAGCATTCTGGTCCATACCACTGCGTGTTACAGATAGACCCAAAACTGCATTTGTGACACAAGAAGGCCATTACCAATGGACCTGTCTACCGTTTGGCTTAAAAACATCTCCAGCTATATTCCAGAGGATAATGTGTAACATTATACGAAAGCACAAGCTCGGAGAGTTCACAGTATGTTTCATCGATGACATTTTGCTATTTTCAAAATCATTTTCGGATCATGTGAGACATCTAGAACAATTATTTAAAGCAATTCAAAGCGAAGGTATGAAACTAAAGTTCTCTAAATGTACATTTGCAGTAGACTCAGTAAAATACTTGGGTCATATAATACAGAATAATGCAGTCAGACCACTGAAAGACAACCTGATATCTATTAAAAACTTCCCAGTACCAAAAACTCAAAAAAATGTGAGACAATTCTTGGGAAAGATAAACTTCTATCATAAATATGTACCAAATATTGCAATAAAGTTGGAACCACTGCATAACCTTTTGAGAAAAGGACAAACTTTTAACTGGACAGGAGCATGCCAAGAGTCATTTGATGAAATGAAACAAATATTATGTTCTCAACCAATATTAACAATCTTTGACCCAAAACTACCAATACACATATACACGGATGCTAGTATACTGGGAGTAGGAGCAGTCTTGAAACAGCCACAACAAAACAATGAATTAAAACCAGTAGCATATTTCTCAAAAAAATTGAATGAAGTACAAAAGAAAAAAAAGGCCATATATCTGGAATGCCTGGCAATCAAAGAATGTGTCCAGTATTGGCAGCACCTATTGATAGGTAGGACATTTACCGTCTTTTCAGATCACAAGCCCTTGGAGAATATGAACATAAAATGTAGAACAGATGAAGAATTAGGTAATCTAACACATTACTTGTCACAATATGACTTTCAGATAAAATATTCTCCAGGAAGATATAACATTGAAGCAGATTGCCTGAGCAGAAACCCAGTCCTTGAACCAGAGGATAACATAGAGGAACAGTTAAAAGTAGTTAACATAATAACACTAGATGATATCTTACAAGATCAAGTTAATAATGAATATATACAAAACAGAAAAGATAAGTTACAAACAAAAAACAATATATACTACAAGAAAGTGAAGAAAAAGGAAAAAATAATTATATCACAAAAATTTAGCATAGAACTCATGAACAATGTACATACAGATCTAGGCCATATCGGAATTAAACAGATGCAAAGAATGATTAGTTCAGTGTATACAGCAGAAAACATGACGAAAAATATAAAAAGAGTTTGTGAGAATTGTATAGTATGTTTAAAGAATAAATCAAGAGGAAAAAATAGATACGGATTGATGTCCCACTTAGGTCCCGCCACAAAACCTTTTCAGATATGCTCTATTGATACTATTGGAGGTTTTGGAGGTTCCAGATCAACAAAGAGATACCTGCATCTGCTATCAGATCATTTTACTAGGTATGCCTATATTTTGACATCTAGTACTCAAAATGCAAATGATTTCATCAAACTCATAAGAAACTGTGCAGAAACTGATGACATCGAATTGATACTCTCAGACCAATACCCGGGTATCAATTCAAAGGAATTCAAGAATTTTTTGGACGAAAAGAATATTTCAATAATTTTTACTGCTGTTAACTCACCTTTCTCAAATGGTTTAAACGAGAGACTAAACCAAACATTGGTCAACAAAATCAGATGCAAAATAAACGAACAAGATACGAAAATATCATGGTCAACTATAGCACATCACTGTGTAAAAAAATACAATGAAACGGAGCATACTGTAACTGGATATGCACCAAAGTACCTACTTTATGGCACAGATGTTTCTATTTTGCCAAATGAGCTGAAACAAAAGAAAACTGAGTATGATTTAATGCAGGACAGGAAAAGAGCTCTGGAAAATACAATCAAATCGCATAATTACAACAAAACAATTTACGACAAACATCGAAGATATATAGACTTCAAAGTTGGTGATACTGTTTTTGTGGAGAACGGGAGCAAATTAAATAGAAAAAAGCTTGCTGAGTTGAAAATAGGACCCTACAAGATCATAGAAAAGATATCAACTTCAATTTACAAGATAAATACTGACCATAAGAAATCAGAGTCTAACTTTTTCCATATCTCGAAGCTAACACCAGCTCCTGGCTACGCTTGAAGAACGGTTCACTTGGTACATTAACTTTTTAGCTTCTCTTGGGGGGGAGATGTAAAGAAAACCATGGTTTTCTTATTTGGATTGTTCCGCGCTATTAGAAATGATTCATAGTCTGTGCAGGTGCTCTTTGGTCTGTGAGGAAAATTAAAAAGAAAGAGTAGCATAACCTAGAGAGGCGTATAATAATTGTAAACAGTAAAAATAATTTATAAAAGAAGTTTTATATTTGTAAAGATATAAGTTGTAGTGATTGGACATCGTGTTCAGTAACATTTAATGTCGTTTCTTTAACAGGTATGTAAGATTTTGACAATAAAAAACTTTACCTAATTTGATATTGTAAAATTTATAAAATAAATCTTTATCTTTAACAGAGAAACCCAATTGTGTTTTGCTGGCGGTGTCGTCTTAATTACACATACAAAAAAATATCTTATATATATATGAAAAATACACAATGTTGCCAGCAATACACGGACGTGGCATTTGAAAAATCGAAAAGCAATATCAATACAGGAAAGAAGGACAGTGGAACAAGATAGATGGGATTACTTCGTCACTACATAGTATAAAACCAAGTCGCATTCTCTGTCCCTATATATGTATGCTATACTATGTATGCTTAAATCTTTAAAACTACGCAACGGATTTAGATTCGGGTTTTTTTCATAGATAGGGTGATTCAGTAGAAAGGTTTTTATGTATAATACAAGACCATGCTGGTGAAGTCGCTGGCGAGAAGCCAGTAATACTAATAAATGCAAAAGTAACTCTTTGGTCTGTTACGTTTTCACGCCTAAAATTCTGGATCAATTCAATGGAAGAATCATGTCTACTTCCCATACATTCATTGGCACATCACATGTTTTTTCAAAGGTCGTGTCTACCCACCATTAGTAATAATTTTTTATTGTTTAAACATTTTGTACACACATGTAATTTTACATAAACATTTATAAGATACATTACTACAAGGGCACTGCTTATTTCAAATTGAAATTTCTACCAGCAGGCCCACGAAAGGAAAAAGAATACAGAAAGGTAGTCCATTTGTAAATCCTAAATTGAATAAAATGTAACTAAATACTGAAAATTAAAAACATACATTTTTTTTCTGGTAGTATACCAATAAAATCATCATAGTACTATTTAAAAATAATTATCAGCCTCAAATAAAAAATTCTATCCTAACTCTATTTTAAGATTTAATTTCCCGATATGAAATATGTAAAAAATAAGCTACATTTTGACATATATCAATTCAATAGACGCTTTTAATTTTTTTAGGTCAAATTGGACATGATTCTTTGGTACACATTAAAGTGGAGCTTTTTTGACAATGCAAGTGCAGCTTAAGCATTAAACCAGGGCTCTCCAACCACCCTGACTTGATACGAAATACTTAATAGTGGGGAGCATCAGAATCCAACACTGATAGTGTGGACCTTTTTTTTTACTTATTTCTTTTGTTTTTTTTTTTCGGGTATTTGATTACCCTGTCTTTGGGACTGTTCTTTTTCCCTCGTCTTTTTTCTTTTTTGTTACTATGTGTCTTATCATCTATTTTACAATTTTTATATTATAATGAACGATTATGTTACGTTTTCTTATTTCTAATTTCTATTTACATTTTTTCTATTGTTTTATATAATTTTATCAATTCATTGGCTGCTTACTTACGTACTTAAATCACAGAATAGAGTGGACCTTGGGAAAGGAGACATTATATTTTTTTTATAAAATCAATGTTTGATATAAATAAGAACTCACTTGATTTCCGTTAGGTCGGGCAACTTCCGCAGTAGATCGTGCAATCGGCTGCGGTAATTAGGTTCTAAAGTTTGCAACAGCAGCGCCACACGCGTCGCGCAACCCCCCGCGCCCGCGCTCTCGCCACACACCACCGCCCCCTCACTACTGCTGCTACTGGAGGTGGGAGGGTTAACATTATTATAAGTACAGTCGAGGGGAAAAAGGCTTGTCATATTCCTCCAATCAAATTTAAACCTAAATCTGTTTTTGTTAAATATACAAACAGCCAGTTGCATAATCGTTCTTTAAAGTTTCCGTTAGTTTAATGTCACATTACCCCTGCAAATTGTCAAATTGAGAACATTTATTAAGCTTAAAGTCGCCATTAAACCTCAATGGACGCAACTGACCGAAAACCAATAGATATTTTGTTTATTTTAAATTTCATAACGGCTACATTAGTAATTTTTATTGCCACAGGTGTTTAGAAAACTTTAATAAAACAAATTAATGCATTAATACTTGATAAGAATACACATATAGTTACTATTTACGGTGTGATTTTGTGGGTTGTGTTGTATTTGAATCAAAAGACTGCTTTTAAAATTGTGGTTCTCATTTTAATATAACACCAATGAGAGAATACCGTTTTAACTTAGAGCTGAGGTCAGCACACAACATTACACTTTAAATTCTTGTGTGTACTAACTGTCAATTGTCTTTTTTATTTTATACTGAGTTGTGTTGTGTTGGCAAAATAAATGCTTTATTATTATTATTGAGTAAAAATACAATACAATATTATTACTATTAATAGTTGCTCCTTACCTCGACACGCCTGTTTCTGAAGTGTCACCGTTGGGCCGTTCCTCTGCTGCACCATTCGGTGTATTGTTATTCAACTTGGATGATATTTGTTTCAGGAATGTTATCTGTGAATGACGATATACAGTCTTTACTTTTTAATTTTAAAAACAACAATGTATTTTATTTTAATAAAAATTATTCTAACGATACAACTCTTTTTTATATTTTTATTTTAAAGATATACATGAAACAAATAAAATAAAAATATTGAGAACATCTAAGAAGAAGCTGATAATAAAAAATCAAGTCAAACTTAATAACGTAATTATATAACCAATTAATTCATTTAGATATTTGGGGAGTAAATTTACGAATATATCCAGGTACACTCCAGTTATAATCTCAAGGATATCAATGGCTAAAAGGACTTTAAATAGTAAAAACATCATTTAAGTAAGATTAGCACAAAGGTCACTTGTTGCGAGTCGATTGCTTATTAAAAAACATCATAGAAGGGAATAGAGGAAGAGCAAGACTTAGACGCAGCTCCTTTGAACAAGTGAAAGAAAAAGTAAGCGTCGTGCCGTACCAACAAGAGTACTTAACTTAATGTACTCGTCAACTAGTATTTATTTGCGAACGGTACTGATCGTTGAAAACGATTACGTCACCGAAATGGCGGCCAGGCGCATTAGCAATTCGCGGGGTTTATAACACACTTTCGGTCAGTTGAACAAACATCCTTCAAGGTTTAATAACGCCTTTGAACTTTAATTAATGTCAAATTTGTATGGGTAATGCGGCTTTAAACTAATGTCAATTTTAATGGACGTCTGTGCAACTGGCTGTTAAACAGTAAAAATGTTGATTATCTATGTAACAGTATAGGTATATGGCTCGGCTATGTATGTATAGTATAATCTGACCAGGAGGTGCGCATCGGCGGCGGCGTATAGCGCCAGCGCATTGTGCTCAGGCGCGTCGGTGCGCAGCGGGGGGGCGGGCGCGGGCGCCGCCAGGGGCGCTCCCCCCCCACTCACCGCCTCCACCAGCGACCACACGCACGAACGGTCGAACTTCGAGTACAAGTCGCGCACCTTCGGCTCCACCTGACAGTTCATTTACTTGTCAACGTCATATACTACGCTCATATTCCGGATGTTAGAGGCACAATACGGTAAACGAACAGTAATTGGACTCCATATAAACGGACGAATTGGCGCCTGCACACATAAAACGTCGTTTACGCGACCGCTTAACATTCTCTGAACGGCATAACGACGCAACGTGTTATAAATTAGAATTATGATATAAACTTTTTTTTTTCACAATTTTTATACATGGACAATGACGATTTGGGTGCTCATGTAAATTTTTCTGTCACGTATAATAACGTCGGTCACGTATAATTTTTCTTGTTTTATTACCTCATAATATATATCGATGGGTGAAAGGCTAATTGATCTAAGCGACATTTTGTAAATGTTACAGGAGAACTAATTAAAGTTTTTTTTTTCAGAAAAAAAATCAAAATTAAACAACTATCTAATACACTTTGATTTATTTGATACAGTGTATCCCTAGTTAAGAAAGGAAGTTTTTTAAGCTATGGCTGTTGGCGATTGTGTTTTATTTTAGGAAATTTATGTCGTTTAACCCAAAATGCATCAAATTAACTTATTTTTTAAGAAAGGCATAATGCTATAAATTCTTATAATTACTAAAATAGCTGAAAGCAAACTGGCCCAAGCATCAACATAACAAAAAATATTATAAGACTAAATGAAATAAGTGCCACGTCAACTAACAGTTGAATATACCCAATGAACATAAGCAACATCATGGTGTTGCACCAGAGTGAAGTAGTTTGATGCAAATGTCCATTAGGAGAACTACAAGATAAAACAAAGTGAATCCTTATTAGATTTTTAGTAGATTTTGATGCTTAGGCCATAATTATTCAGCAACGTCTAATGACATTAAGATATTTGTGTGAGTGGTATCAGTTTGTAAATAACTCAAAAAACAGTTTTTTATGAATTATAATTTATTCGAAATCAGTCTTAAACAACGAACGTAATAACAACAATCAGTAAACAAATCAAATTAATGGGTAGCACTCAAACATTAATAAGTAACCATAAAAGTAACCAATGATAATCAGAAGCTGAATTAAATAACAATCGTGTCAGAACACAAATAAAAGATAGTTCTTTACTAAAACACAACAGAAAGTTCGCAATCTTTAATTATCAAGAAATAAGAAATAAAATGATTCTTCATTCTATCTCATCCTCAATATCTGTATCTATCAAAACATCTTTACCAACGCGGTGTGGAAAGTTAGTGTATTCTGGGTGAAAAATTTTGGGTATAACCCCTGTATCACACAGCTTTTTAAGATCTTTGTACTTCACCGTAGTTATTGGCAAAGATACTTTATACTTCCTCTGTACTACCTTTGGTCTCGAAATTATGGCTATAGAATCGGTCTCTGCATTTTCATCCATGCTGTATTTAACAGTCATGACATTGGGTGACGATTTTTTAAATGTTGCTACCCGAATCTTACTTATCTTACCAGTTAAATTACCTTTGAAATATTTTTCAGAAAACTCTTCATAATTCATGAAATCGTTGTGAGTAAGAGTTTTTACGTAATATGGGGCGGGCTCTCTACGAGCCAACTGAAAAACAGTTGGCCACTGTGATGGTGCCCATATTGTATTATTCCTAACAGAATTTTCGATAGTTGCGTGTATGCTATCGACAGTCATTTCTGTATGCCCTGGTAGCAGATAATTTATTTGTATCGTTTCAATATGTTTCGTTTGAAGTAGTGCGTTATGTAGGGCGGCTAAAACTATTTTGTTTTTGTTCTGCCCCGGGCATGAGTCTGAATATAGAATTAAATTTGTTACTGAACCACGTGAATCCACTTCAGCAATATACTTTTGTAATATTGTAGCTATTTCATTGCCGCCTCTTTTGCCTTCGGTTTCTCCCCACGTATAACAAAAGCCATTTCTGGTACCACTTTCGTAAAAACAAAGGTTGTACACTGCATATTTTCTAGAATAAAAAAGTAACATATTCTCTCCATGTGGGGTATTCAATACCTTTTGGAGATCAAAAGAAGTACAAATCATTGTTTTATTCTTCTTGCTTAGCTTACGGTGAAAATCTAATCTGTCTTTTGATGACTTTTTTTCTTTTAAATGACTTATCATTTCAGAATTTTCTTTTTCATTCTGATCTTCAAAATGTAAACATTTTACACATTTATCCTTCTTCGGGACGTGGAAGCCAATATTGAACTCCTTTTTGAAAATCTCACGAAATATTTTTTCACCAACAACGTCTATACCTTCTGATGTTTTTGACTCTTTATAAATCCTATAAAGGTTTTTTATGTTTTTAAGTTCAGTGGGAAGATATAATCTGGTACTGTCTTTACGACAGTAGTGGGATGGTAGTGCTGGTAAGCTTTTGATAAAATTAATGGCCGACTCCTTTACCAAGGGAGGTGTTTTATTTTTAGGGATAGTTTTGCCTCTGCCTTCCTCTTTTGATAATCCATACGATGCATTAGCTAAAGTATAACTAACATATTTTGGGCTAACATCCAAAGTGTCTACTAGAATTTTTTTGCAAACCTTACGTCGGCCTTCACCATCGTTAATATAGTAATAATACGTATTGTGCCTCACAGCAGAATCCTTTGACCTCTTACGTTTTATGTCACTTTTAGCAGTCATGCCTATTAGCCAATCTTTTTTTCTTTGGGATGATAGTCCCCAAAAATAATCAAATATATTTATTCTTTTTTCTTCTGAAACATTGCTGCAGTTGTTACCACAGGATTTTCCAATGCATGGATTGGGTTTAAGTAATCTTGCATTTACAATACCTCCGTCTTTTTTCATATACTCTTTTCCTTTTTCTCTTAAGGTTTTTGCTTCTTTGCGTTTATTCTTTCTCTTTTTTTTCAATCCTACTTCACCCACTTTACCATCTTCTGATCTTACTTTTCTTTTCCTTTTTTGAGGTTTATTGTTTTCTTCCGATGAAGATTCATCCCCACTTTCCACCCAAGAAGAGGAATCCCACGCAAAATCCTCTTCTTCGGATAGAAAATCAACATAACTTTTATTTGGTTTGCTTCTCTTGTACTTTTTTTTGGATTTGACTTGAACTTCGTTTGAATTATTCATTTTCTCTGATTCTACGTCATCTTCATCTACTTCAAGAGACTTCCTCAGCAATTCCATGTCACTCTCAGCAATAACTTCCGTTAAGGAAGAAATAAGTTCAGGTTCTTTTTCTTTGTCACTTTGTTCATTTTTAGAAGTTAGTTCGTCATTATCGTTTTCTTTTTGTGTAATTTCGTAGCTCGAGTTTTCTTTATTGCATTGTCTTTCAGTATTGTATGTCTGAAATTATAAAAAAATAATAAATGTTATTTCCACTTTGATAGTCATAGGTAAGGCTATTAATAAAATTAATTACATACCAACTCAAAGTCAACATCCATTTGACTATTATTTTCTGGATAGCTATTTTCTTTGTTTAGATCTTTATTAGTAATATCTTCTATTAGAGCGTTTGCGGTACTGACATGATCATTCTAAAAGAAAAAATAATCTAAATTCACGAAAACTTTTGTTGTATTAAAGTTTTTAAAGGTATAAAGCTTTGCTTACCTGTGACTCTTTTTCCGTATTGCTGCTGATAGAGATTGATTTTTCTTTGTGATTTTGTTCATTGGTAGATATTTGTTCGTCATCAGAGTTTTCTTTTTCTAAAAATAGATAGCTTGAATTTTCTTTATTCGACACACCTTCAGTATTCTCAGTCTAAAATAAAGAAAAGGTGTTGTCACTTTCATAAAGTCATAGGTAAGGATATTAATACAATTAATTACATACCGACTCAAATTCAATATCAACTCGTATATTATCTTCTACTTGTATATTTCCTGTATAACTATTTTGTTTGGTTAGATCTTTGACAGTAATATCTTCTAATAGAGCTTTGGTGGTACTACCATGATCATCCTTAAAGAAAATAATAACGTTAATCAACGAGAACTGTTATAGTTACAAAATTCTTATAATGCATATAGCTTTTTTACCTGCGACTCTTTTTCCATAGTGTTAACTGTATTCGCTAATGGAAAACCATGGATTTGATCATAATAGGATTGACTTCCTAATAGTGTAACAATACGATTGCCTTCAGTTTCATTATTTAAACTGTTTTCATTTTCTATCTTCTTAGATATTTTAGTCTTATGTTGAGATAACTCTTTCACTATCTGCTTCTTAAAATACAACCGGCGTTGTGATTCCATTCTTGCTGAAATGATATTAAAACCGATTGCAGAATATTAATATTAATTTACGTACTATATTTTATGAGATTTAGATACACCCAAATCTATACTAATATTATAAAGAGGAAAGATTTAATTGTTTGTTTGTTTGCAGTGAATAGGCTCCGAAACTACTGGACCGATTTTAAAAATTCTTTCACCTACGGGAAGCCCTATCATATGCGCTGAACATAGGCTAAACGAGTATTTTATCCCAAAAAACGGCAAATAAAATGGGATGGGTATGGGTATAGAATACAGGTAATTAAAAGGGCGTCATAGTCATGTCAAGGTAACCATTGTTTATGATTCCGTGAGTGTTTATATCTATGGTACTCACACAGTTCCCTAGCACCACGCGAGCAAAGCCGCTAACGGAAAGCTAGTAACCTATAAATCAATTATGTATAAGCTATGGTATTCTGAGGGCTTAATCGTATTTTTTATCTCGATATTCCCATGGACGGACCGATATCCAAATATGGAAACATCAAAATTTCGACATTTTTAATTATTATTTTCACATACCTACCTACTTACGGATTTTGTAATTAGCATTAAGAAGATAAATACATTATTATATTTACTTACATGCTTTAGAATGCATCTAGATATCTAGATACATGCCTACAAGTTCTTTCGCGGACAAGTCTCGACACGAACCTAGCTTGAATTTAATAGAGATACCTACTATAAATCAAAACAATGTCTTCTTTATTCTACATTTCTAACGTAATTACAGATGTTTTCATCGGATATCGATTACATAAAACAAAACAATTTGTACTTACCAGACAAAACAACCGTCTATCTTCACAGCTCGTTCACACACAACTTGCTTTAAAGTTGGCGGCTGACTGATGCACCTGCGCGGGGGTGGGTGAGGTACTCGTAACGGTCATTTATAGTATAGAGCGCGCAATAATAATCTTAGTTCCAAGCGACTAACGAGTACTCAACCTTATTAATTTATTGGACGGCCTATATGTTAAAACAGACTTCTTAAAATGATGGAAATGCTAATTTAACTAATACTGACTTAACCAAATGTTTCAACCGACTTAATATTATAGATAATAGTTAGGTCAAAGTATCCGAAGTGACATTTCTTATTGTCCTTAAGAGAGACTAAATGGGTCAAGCGACATTGTAAAGTAATATAACTTAATTCAAAATGGTTCAAGCGACACAGTTTTTCAATGTGGTAAAAAGCAAAATAGGCCAAACGACAAAGCTCATTCTTTTGGTTTAATGGAAAATAGACCAAACGACAAAGCTACAACCATGACGAAAAAGCTAAGTGCCTTTAACGACACGTATTATAAAAGTTCGAAAAATCAAAATAACTTAAGTCACCGAGTCCTCAAATTTGTTCAATTTTGTGTCGTTTAGGTTAATGAGCTTAGAAATGAGGCCTGTTTTGCTCTGGGTGATAAGCGCCAAAAAAGTCGTCCAAAAACTTTGGAACCTGGCTCAAACGATGGAGAAAAATTTGCTGATTCCGAATATGTATATAACTCAATATTGAAAAAATTGTCGCTTAGATCAATTAGGCTTTCACCCATCGATATACTTGTTATTGTCTCTTTTACGTGTAAAAGCCACTAACGTGACTTTGGCGGAATTGTGTAATCGCAAATAGTAAGGCTTAATAAGGCATAACCTAACGTTAAATGTTTGGTAAAACGACAGATCTGTTTAGGCTATTCTAGGTTACTGAAAACAAGCATTATTGTGTCTATGCTGTTTAAAATAAAATTAATAACTTAGAAGTGACGTTTTTGACTATTTTTATAAACTGTCTCAATCTGTTCATTAGATAATTTAAAACATGTATAATTATTGATTTCTACAAAACAAAAAATAACTAAAATATTTGTCTCGTTTCTTATTTGGCACTAAAATAGTCTATGAAGTCACTTATCATAATGGGTGGCCAGATCAGGTCGTGAAAATTGCCAGCATTAGCCCGAAAAATTGCTTTTAAGACTAAAATGTCTCGCAAATCACTAATGTGATAAAGCTAACCTAAAATAATACACCATTAACAGAAAATCTCATCAGCTTACCTCCTGATACCTCGCGCTGCACAACATCTGTATGATCTGTGCTATCTGTATGAGGTTGAATCTGGCTATATATGAGACGGGCACTTCAACGACGCCGTGTGCTTCAGGGTTCAATATCGCAGGGCAGATGAAGTGGTGGAGTACGAGGTCCGAACATATCGCATGTAACTCGCGGTCACTCGGTCTGATAGAAAAGAACCAAAAATTCCTTATTCAAATAAGCTTATCATCTTGAATTATCCAACATTTTTTTGGCCCACATGACCTTTTTGGTTGATAAAAACATTAAGCCTGGCTGTACTCATTCGTTTTCTATTCCGAACAAAAAAAAAACGGGTGACACCATTCCGAATTCGGCGCTCGGGTTCATTTTTTACGCCTGGCCGCACACATTAGTTTTCCGTGTTCGGATTCCTGATCAGGAATTCCGAATCGGAGACCCGAGCTACAAAATGCACTGCGGCATACACTTTCTTTTCGCTATTAGTTCGGAAAAAACCTGAAGATCATAGGACGACATGATGATAACAACAGATGTAAAAAAATTGTCTAATAAATATATTCATTTCTGCTATGTTTAATACACTTTTTATTCATTTATAACAAATCTTCTAAGCAACCCGATTATGCCAAAAAAAAGGCGAGAAAACATTTGACCATCTAAAAGGAACATTAGTAAGGCGTTCCCAGCCATACTTCTCTTGCCACATAACCCCTTTCAAGATCTAAAATTCTATTTATGATTAAATTTACCTGGAATGTTGTTTGAGTAGATGCACGACCTGCTGCACTATCCAGGCGATTGCGGATGGGAAGTTGGGCCAGTGCTCACGCAGCGAAGCCAAGAACTTGCTCGTCAGATTGAACAGCGATTGGACCGTCCACTTGCGGTAACGGGCCACTTTGACTGCGTACTCAGCGCCGTTAGGTTGGCCAAACTTCTTCAAACGGTCCGCGGGCGAGAATCTAACATTTATATTTTCAAAAGGTCAATAACTCATACCGTCATATTGTAGAAAACGTGGACAAAAGAAACATCTTTTGTCCACGTTTTCTACAATAAACTACATCTGTTCACTTTTACCATCCCACTATCTACAGTACTAGAAGTAAATTAAAACTACAGGTATCTAACAGTAGACAGTAGGAATATATACAAAATCAAGTGTTGGCAGCTGCCATCCCTCTCATCCACTCAGTACACCCATATGAATGCTTAAATTCATCCAGTCACTTTGAGCAATTTTTCATTTTTAAGTACCTACTTCATCATGTGATCCACTTTCCGTGCCTTTAGCAGATGAGCTTTATGCCATCTACGCGAATAAGAGGTATTTCTAAATCATTCAAGATGTTTTTTTCTTGCAAGGCTTCTTGATCTGCGTTAACGCGCCTATCAAAATGTGTTGAGCAAATTTTAAGGTTTTTCAAATGTCTTACCTCTCCATAGCTTTGTCTGGGTCAACGTCAAGAAAAAATTCGTCCTCGTGCAGCACCGCCATCACGGGCGCGTGTAATGCCGCAATGAGAAACTGGCGCGCTGGCGTGTGACTGTCGCGGAATACTGCATACAGAGATGCTAGCGCGCATTTGCCCGTTAGAAATAACCTGAGAATATTCAAATTGATGTATTTCAAAGGACTAACTTAGGTTGATAGGACTTCGGGTGCGTTTTTCCGGTTCCCTCTATCTGGCAAAATGTTTGACACAACAGACTTGGCACGACCAGTTAGCTGCGACATATGTACATAGTACTTTTAGATATTTATGTGCTACTTTTAATGTTTATATTTTTGTAAACGGGCGTCAATAAGTGCATGAAAAGATTAATATTGAATAAAGTTGATTTCATTTAAGTTGATGTCATTTGACTTATTTATTCAGTCACATAAATGTATGTGATTTGTAGTGAGGTATAGACAGACATATATCTGGGCATATTTTGAATACTCACTTCCGAGGATCACTAGATGGAGCCAATTGATGTTTTATAAGTGATCGTATGACAGCTAGAAGCCTGGTCCTATCTGACGTAGACCGGGCGCTCCCATAGAGACCCGCGACTAGAGAGGCTGGTAAACTGGGCGGCATTTGCTCCTCTCCCAGCAGTAGGCACAGTGCAACCAAGTGTGGGGAGTCCCGCAGCCATCCTAATAGTTCGCCTAATGTTGCTGCTTCCTGTTTAAAGTGTGTTCAATATTAATGTTAGTCTGTTTGATAGTTTTTTACAGCTAGTTTTTGCAATATTAATTTTATTTGTGAGTTATTTTTAGATAGTATTATATTAACATCACAGATATTCTCTCTACTAGATTTTAACCTTAATGTTATTGTAAAAGACTTGCTGAGTGTTACTATCTATGTTATATGACCAGTAAATAATTTGATTAAAATTTAAATCACAATATTTTGAAGTATTACTGATGTTGCTATGTGTACACACAATATATTATCATTACAATTACTGCTTTTCTACTTGATTTGTGACAAAATTGACATGGTTTGTGATGGGCATTAATACAATATCAATCAGAGTATTCACATTATTTCAATCTGAGCCAATTTTAATAATCACCTCTAAAACATAATTTATTATGATTTTTATAAATCTATAGCATATATATGTATATATAAGTTAATTGCATAACATGTGTATCGTAACAATATTACTACTTATTTTACTACAAAATGCTTATTTAAAGTAATTAATGTCATTGGTAAACTAATTGAAAATTAATTGTATGATTTTCTATTAAAGATTTCCATTTGATCAACCACTACCACAAACTACACCAGAAGGTAATCATATGTATTAACTTCTTTTATGTATTTTTTATACCTACGCTCGGCCGTCGCGCTAATGTTGTCAACTTAAGCTAACGCACAAATAATTTATCGTAGTTGTGACTAGAGATGGGATATTACGCGGAAAAAACCCAAAATTGGGGAAATAAAACAGGAAAATTCCCTATTGGGAAAATATTCGGCTTTTTTCATGTAATACCAATTTAAAAAAATAAATATTATTTGTACTTCTTAAGTGCGCTTGTGCACTACACTGAATTTTCAGGTCCGGCGGTCCGATTTTTTCCGGTCCGGAATGACATGAAAAACTCGGATGAGTAGCTTGTGCACTTGTCCGTTTTTTTCCTGATCGGAGCGGCGCAGTGTAGGGCAGCTCTCTTTGAAGCTACACGTCACTTACGCTAGGTACGATGAGATTTTTAGAACGTCGGTAATTCCGTTCGAAGACATAGAAAGGTACCTAAATAATGATCTGAGCGTTTTACATAAACCATAATAAATTATGGCAAGACGAAAGCATTTTTTTTACTACTATCGGATGACTACTATCAGATGTAAAAACTTATACCCTTACTAATTTAGGAACAGCATTATTCACATACAATAGCTAAAAATATCTGTGACATTAGAATAAAATAACTGATAATGGTCTAGTACTTTATGTTTAAATTTTTAAACGTGCTATTTTTTTCGAAGTTTTGTAAAAACAACTTTCAGCGATTACAGAGATAGACCAATTGGTGGCGCCATTTCGTAAACAAATCGAAATTAGTGCCGTGTTAGCGGAGAATTATTACGCTAAATGAACTTTTCGAGATCAGTTGACTTTATTATATATAGGCATAATTTTCTACGCGTGGTGTAGTTTCTTAGAGCAGAAATATTATTCCCTTAGAATAGTTCTTTTTTTTAAATTTATTAATGACACAAACATACATTTAAAATTTTATTAAATGCGAAAAAGACATTGAGTGTCACTTAATTACTTTTGTTAATCTTCTGTTTATTCTTTATTATTACTTCTGTTGTCAAATATTTATCTATACTTATCAATTGTCTAAAAAACATTTGATAATGACAAATTTCCAGGCAAACTTTCATCCCCTTTTTTTCGCGATAAAATGTAGCGTATGTCCTTTCTTAAAGTTAAGTCTATTTACTATATTAATTTCCATTTAGATGGGTTGAGTTGTTTAGGCGTCTAAGCGTAACAACACTTATTAATCTTACCTTAAGCTATAATCGATACTTTTAATACGATTCTAAAATCTAGCTAAGTATCGATACTAGAACCATACGCTGATCAAATTAGAACTATACCGAGTTTGCCAAAGCAAAAGCATACATCAGAGATATGATCTCCTGCAGCTGATCATGATGGGCAAAGTTGCGGGAAAGAGAAAGAGGAGGAAGGAAGAAGTCGTGGTTGCGGAACATCCGAGAGTGGACCGGGATAGCGAGCGCTGCTGAGCTGTTCCGCCGAGCTAAAGACAAGAAGGAACTGAACATGCTAATCGCTAACCTTCACTAGTTGGAGAGGCACCTTTAGAAGAAGAAAGCATATGCAGTGATATATACCAACTATATTAAATCATCATATAAAATATAGCATTTTATAATCAACAATAAATATCGATTATAGTTTATTGGAAATTAACAATATTGCCAAAATAAATATCGATTCAAATCGATTATTTTTTCCCAAGCCTATTCCTTATAAATTTTCCGGATCTCGGACACAGCAGTGCACAAGCGTAAACACGTTTTTCATTGCCGCCATCACGGACCTGAAAAATCCGGTCCGGAATAGAGAAAAGTAAAATTCCGGACGGTAAAATTCCTGACAGTGCACAAGCACGCATTACCTACATATGGCCTGACATATCGGACCTGAAAAAATCGGACCGCCGGACATGAAAATTCAGTGTAGTGCACAAGCGCCCTAACACTATAAAAACTGAAACAGAATATTTCATAACAATATGAATGTGTAAAACGGTACGTGACATCATAACCTGTAGCATTCGGCGATCTTTGAGGTTTCAGGACCGATAATACAGTATCTGTTTACTTGAGCAAAATCGGAAAAAAGGGACAAGTCGGAAGTAGGATTAGGTATTACCACGTTTCACATTAAAATATTCGTTTCAACAGAAGTTATTCAAACTAACAAATTCAAATCATGAGTTGATTTGAACCTGAGGACTAAAAGTAGATACTCTGGATGAGGCTAATAATATATGTCAAAGAAAATACTTGAAGTTTTTAATGTCTGGAAGCCACTGATTTGTAACTCTTATTGGAGATAATGCTATTATTTATTCAACGAGCATTTCAAATAATTATGTGTATTGCATACATTAAATTATTTTTTGCCAAGAATGCGTAAACATACAGAACACAGAAAGACGAAAACAGGACCTCAAAGTATTCATATCACTTGCTGTTGATATTTTAATATGGTATGTTTTAAGGAGTTTAAGAAATTCCAAAGTGTGTAGAGTTTAGCTGTCATTGAAAATTCTATGTGTCAGAAGCAACAAAATCGATTTACTGGATGAAAATTCTGATAACTTTTAAACTTGAACCCAATGAAATTCTCACGTCTGAGGTAGTAGGAAGAGTAGCGCGGTGGCGTAGTGGATAAGCGCCGCGGCCCGCGATCGTTGTCGTTAAGCAACTCTCAGTAGGGTAGCTAACGGGATGGGTGACCAAAAATTATTATCTCGAGCTACTTCGTGCTTCAGGCACATTAAGACGTTGGTCCGGGCTGCATTTCACGTCGATTATACCCCCCCAATCCACATTGGACCAACATAGAGAGTCATAGCCCATCCTCCTTAACCAACCATAAGGTACGCCTGAGCACCTGCAGTGGGGAGGTAAAGGGGCTGGTGATGAAATTCTATATGCTGTAATTTATAACATTATAATTATTATACAAATAATTATATTAAACCAATCTACTGCACAGCATATTCATTAGATCCCAGATCACAAAGTCTTTAAATGGAAGAAGACCATGAGGTAGATGTAATGAAATTAATCATGAATTCAGCCAATCACTTAATATTGACATTTGTGTCAACTTAACCAACTATAAAGGATAAGAGGTAGATCATTCATAAGTAAGAAAGTCATAGATATGAATCAAGTATTTTGATGGAGAGGGCAATGCCATCCATGATTCAGTATACATGTCCCTATATATAACTACAGACAGGACAGCAACCATAGCATTAACATCTTAGAACTTTACACAAACACAAAGAGACTAAGATGAGGAGTCTTTTCTTAGATTAATACTCAGCCCTTGTTCTAGATCAAACTAACGATGTATAACCTTCTATATTGTATATAAACACTGAAGAAACAGAATTCTTTGATATATTAAATGCAATCTAGTCCATGGAACAAAATAGTTCCCAAACCTAAGCTTTAAATCAAACTGCTAGTCAAAAAATATATCAAGACTAGGCAAATAAGACCTGATGTTATAGTATGCAGTAGAAATGTTAATTGATATTATTAAGATAGGTATTCTTATTGAAAAATTGTTAAAATAACTCTTTCAGCCGTTTGGGTGGACTGCCTGAACATTGATGAAAATACTCTCTGTAGTAGCAAAGAAGTAACAAGTGCTTGAAAGATTCATCAGTCCTGTTATGTCCTAGGTAACTCAGTGGTTAGAGCAGTCAGACGAATTTCAAAATGTCATGGGTTCGAGTCCCATCTCAGAGTGCCAGGGACAGAGTGGATATTTTAAGGAATTTTCATTAAGAATGTTTTTCAATATAGGATAATTGATAATATACAATAACAAAGATAAGTATTCTTCATTAAAAGCTTTTCTTTAATTTTCTGGTTTGTTACTGACATTAATGTCTAGTTTAATACTAGTACAAGTTACCTTACCACATTATTATTTTTAATAAAAATAAACTACATTTTTATTAGCTACTTTATAATATAATTATGAAAATGATTTTTTGCAATTAATAATGCAATAAATGAGTTACATCAGCAAAATAAGTTTCAAAATGTTTATTACTACTGGTGCACCCATTTTGGTGTACCCAATTTAAAGTTTATTTATATTTTATAATTTATATATAAAATAAATAAATAATCAAAGTTAGAAATATATAAGTAGGTATTGTTGTTGGCAATATGACTTATTACAATGACTAATATTTTGCTATCACTAATGGTGGGTGGATACTGAAAACATTCATGTTTCACATTAGTAATAAAAAAAGATTAGTAGAATTAATACACAAAAATTAAGATCTAAATTATACAATGTCTGATGATAGATTTATGATAAAGATTATATTGAAACAATCCATATTATGCATTCTGCTAAGAAGTGCTAATAAAATTACTAAGCATAAAAATACCTTACAGCTTTTCCAATTCAGCTATGTTCAAACCATAGAGTAACTATAATAAACTTACTGTTTTAATTGAAATTCATATTTGCAATGGATAACAAACTCACCTTGTATTTCAAGACCTTGTAAGCATCCACAAATGTAGTTCTCTCCAATGAACTTGCTCTTTGACAAGCGGCTATGGAGTCAGCTTCACATTTAGATGTAATGAGGTTCGTTAAATTCTGACGCTGTTGCAAGCATATCCAGGAAACCTGCAGCAACTCCAAAGTCTTTTTCTCCACCTCCTCGTTAAGATTTTGCAACAGCTGTCGCTCCGAATTAATAAATATTTTCTCTCTTCTGAGCTGATTTGCCAATTCAGCAATGTTCATGCAACCTTCTGAAGTAGACTGCATGATTTATTTCCTTTCTTAACATATATCAGCACATACGAAACTTCTCTAATAAATGTCGATTACTATTTTCATTATGATTTCATTGAAGCACTTGTTTTTGAGCAATGAATGACAGATTTCTTTAGATAAACAATAGTTCCTGATTTTTTAGACTGGCAGGGTAAAAATTACTCATATATATAAACAACACATCCAAATCACAACAAATTGCAGAAAATTTGTTCAATTCATTATTTCACATGAAAAGAAAAACACGACAAATACAGAACAGAATACAAATTCCAAAACCCATTCAATAAACATAGAGTAATAAAATAAGTATTTGTTTGTCTGTCCCACTCAGTCTTATTTGTCTCACTCACATTCACTCACATCAATGGCGGGCATAGAGAAGTACAGTCAAGAGCACGTCAAGATATACAAATCTGTCAAATGTCTCTAGTCTATTTTAAACTTTAATGTTAAAAGTGTAGAATTTAAAATCAACTGGAAAAATTTGACAGATTGTGGTAACCTGATGTGTAGCGTGTGCATTATCTACTTTTTTAAATGTCTCAAGCAAAAATCATAAAGGCGAATACACATTTATACGTCATGTTATAACAACATCGTTGTTTCTGTTGCTTTTCGAGTGTTTTTTCTTATATATGGTTGTAATACAATGTGCACATGTGCACCCATTTAAATTAATACCACTCTTTGGTCTAAAGGCCGATTTACATCAGACAAGCGAATGGTCATGGTATCCTAACTCCATATTTTTATTGTAAACAATCTTAGAGCATACTTTCGTTATCCATCTGTATTCATAAAGATTCTTTGAAACACTTATAGAAGAGCTCTCTCCTCGGAACTCAAGTGATTTGTTTTGATATCAATAAAAAATAACATAAATTTCTTTTCATCTTATTCTTGTATATTAGTCTTTGTATCACCAACATTAACTGGTATCTAAGTTGCATTAAATGTGTCGCCCACTAACTTCTCTTCCTAATTTTGAGTATTATTATTTTAACTGTTAAAAGTTGAACATGCACGAGGCACTACCAGTTACAGAATTTACACGTGAGCTATGAGCATTTGTTTGATCTAAATATTTTACAGAATACGGGAGTAGACAGCAAACGAAAATAAATACTTATTATTTATTTTTTCTGGTAATGTTTTATATACTGTTGCCGATAATAACACTTTTATACTTTATTATATTACTTAAATTAATGAGAAAGTATTAAAAAAAAAGAAAGCACTAAAATCACCTCACTAGAAAGCGACTCTAGCAAAAGTCGATTTTTGCTGGAAGGTTAGTCAGTTCCGTGCCTTTTAACTAACATATTAAAAAATTAAAATATTTTATACTCGTTGTCTCATGACCGCTGACGTGTGACGTCATGCCCCTCTTATAATATCAAAACTAACACTCGGTTTCTGAATTGACAATTTGAAGCTGAGCACGTCTCAAACGTGCAAAAAACCATTTTAAAAGTCATGGTTTTCATTACAGATTTATATTTTTTTAATGATCAGTTGATAGCGATTTGATAAAACTAAGACTTTTTGCCATATGAAACGTAAAAAAACTCAAGTTATAGAGAATAATCAGTTGAGATTTTGTGTTTTTCTCAATTCAGAAATCGGCTGTTAGAGAATTAAACCTTATGTATGCTTAATAGAACGATAATAGTTTTAGAGGGTTATGATGTCATAGCAACGTCATGACAGAAGTTGGCGTTTTAGCGGGTAATTTTGAAAACTTACATTTATTTACACATCTAATTTTATATTTTAACTCATTATATGAATGTTTCTTTTTTTAATATATTTTGTCTATATAATAATCTATCTATATAATGAGAATATTATAAAAAGTTATCTGCAGCCGTAATCTAGGTTTTGTTTCCACATACTGAATACGCTTTGATATTTTCGTGTAAACAACACTCGAAACAAACTTTCGTTTACACTAACATTGCTATTCATAAACAAGGGCTAGCGACAGAGTAAATTTACGCTAAATTTCAGTTTTTGATTAGCCAAAATTCATAGTATACAGAAAATAAGCAAATCTATTACCTTCTAGGAGTAAACATTACTCCCTTAGAATATCGAAGGTTAGCCACCTTTCTTAAATATCTGTTTAATAATAATATGAATTTTAACTAATACGTCAGTCTTGAAAAAAATTGAGGGCGCTGCGATCGTGCACGTAGCAACCCTGTGTAGTGAGACAAATGATTTTGATAGTAGGATTTTTTTACTTACAGTAAAATAAACCGGATATTTTTTTTACTTTAATTTTCCTAGAAAAGGTAAAGAAAGGCGTATAATTCGTCGACAATAAGTAATCGTAATTTTTAATGAATCTCTATTTTTTGCAATCTCTATTTTTTGTTGCAGTTAACCATTTCTTTCTTGGGACGACCTGATCTATGTTTCCCAGTCATAGCTGCCGTCCGAGCATAAACATCCGCCAAATATGATAAAATGTGTCCAGCTTCTTGTTCCAATAAACATCACTGAAAAACTTTAAAAATAACATCCCGAGTTTCACTCCGATTAGTTCTCTTCATTTTTAAGACATTTCTACCTAGTTTAGAAGAAGTAGATTCAATTTAATCAAAACAAATCAAAAATGCAGATAATCGAGTTACAAAATCAAGTCGTTGACAGTCGATGTACTTTGATTCAGTGTTGTCATACTTGTGTCTAATGTTAGTTCCTCAAACATTCTTTTCATGACTTTATAGACAGACTGTAAGTGCAGTCCAACACCGTAAAAGAGCAAGAAAAATGATCTTGTTCTTGCTCTTTCTATATTTGGTGTAAATGCACTTTGATACTTTAACAGTGAACGTAAGTTGTATCTTTTTCTTGGTCTGTGCAATGAACGATTGAGCGATCGCATGACATACATATGAATATGAATGATTATGGAGTAGGGATTGAATGAAAATGGTTGACGAGTGGTTGACGAAGGAAATCCTTGGACTGCTTTTTTCATTGTAATTCTTGTGTAAATAAAATTGTGGTGTTTATTCAGTGATAACTACTTAAATGTGTATAGTTTGTATCTATTAAAATTATAATGTCAAATAGCACAATTGAAAGAAAACTAAAGGGATTAGAAGAACGCTTTGAAAAGGAAATGCGTATCCACAGAGAGGATGGCATCCTCAATCAAGGTGGACTTGGTTCCAGGCCCGGGAGCAGTCGGAGACCACGGCCTCGTGAGTATATTTTGATACCTACTTACAAAATTATCAATAGGATATTTATTATATTTAAGATTGGAACCATTTATGACTACAGTAATAGATGATTATCACTGTAAAAAATATACCTAAAATATGATTAAAAATGTAATTTTGCTAAATCTGATTATATTTCAAAATATTTAGTTGGATATGTACTATTTGTATTTTTCGTAATAAATATTCAACACAAAGTTCACAAAACATTTGACTATTTTGGTTTGCTTAGCTTAATGAAAATAACGTGTGCCATAAATATTACTAAATACTCGTGACAATGTATTATTAATTGAAACTAAAGTATACCAGTAATTACAGTTCAATAGAAATCAGACTGTATGTAGGTGTATAGGTATGTCTAATAGGGAATATGCACATTTTTGGAAAATGGTTTTATATGATAATTAACATCGATATATAGCTGTAAAAAAATACCCGGCACCGAAATACAAAAATTTTGTAACATTAATCATTGATGAAAATAAGTAAAAGCTACGAGCAGTTTAAACACCGGAATTTTTGGCGCTCTTGTCGTGACGTCAAAGTACACGACTAGAGATATGACATTTTAAATCAATATGGATTTTGAGTGATTGATTATTATTCAATTACCCAAGTTGATAAACAACTAAACAATTTTTTTTAAGTATAATAGACTTTTTTAATAAATCATATAATTAACCAAATTTTTGAAATAAAAATAAAAGCCTAAAACATCATTTAAATTGTAATCTGTTGTTTATTTTGTGACTAAATACTTTGATGTTATTGCATCAATGTTGACTTTTTGTAACGACATCCCTATACGTGTACATTTTCGTCACATCCGCTCTGACAATTAGCATGGCGTTTAAATATTTTAAAGTTACCGCATTTATTTTGTACTTTTTAATAATTATTTTCAAGACGAAAAAGAACAAATTTTGAAAAACATTTAGATAGACTTTATTCTAAAGCAATAACGATTGTAATAAAATATATTTAACCCTTTTATGATTCAGACGCATATTCCTTATTAATACTCACCATCACTTGAACTCAATTAAAAGAAATGTATCTATACATATTATTAATCTCACATAGTTTACTCGTCTGTAATGAGAAGCTTAATTTTTTTGTCTTTGTGAAAACAATAATAATTTTCATTTAACATCATGTTGTAAAGTTTTGTTTACAACTAATAAATATTCATAATAAAAAAGTTAATGATTCGGTGGTTTCTAAGTTTTTTTTTATTCTAGGTATTTCTATTATGGGTAATGTTATATATATTTTGTTATAGCTGCTATGTTCTCAAATAGAGAGATACCAGCATTCCCACCGCGGTCACCGCAAGCTACAGAGACCGAACATCGAATGAGAGAAGTATATAAGGTAATTAGCATAACAATAGATACTTACATTAGTTTTATAACTTATTATTTGTAGCATGTTTCTTTTCAGTCACATATTTGGTCAATTGCACAAATGTTCATTGATTTGGTTTAATAACAACATTAAGCTCTAATGAATATTCCAAATTTGAAAATTCATATTGGTAATATGGCTTTAAAATAATGACAATTTAAATGTTATTATTTATAATAGTACTAATTGTAAAGTACATATATAATAATTAATATCATATTTAACCTGAAAAAAGAAAAAATATTTTAGAAATCAGAAAATATGCACCATTTCCACATACATTTTTGAAGAAATGAGTATAGTTAGGTTTTCATATTGCTTCTTTGGTTATGGAGTATATATGGAGTATTTTCAAAGATGGTTTTATTTGGAAAACTTACATTATATGTTAATATTTTTTGTAAATTGAATATATAAACAAAAAACTTGGGTTATTGGACTCTTTAGAGAACATACCCTTCTTATTGATAACCTCCTTTTTTAAAATAACCTCAACCTGACAAAAAGTTTATATTTAAAATAATTATAATATATTTTTTTTATGAAGAATATTTAAACTTACAGGTTAGCGGCAAGTTAAATGTGAATGGAAAAGAATATCGTTCTCATGTTGATGATCTACAGCATTTGGGTGAGCTGGGCAGCGGCACTTGTGGACATGTTGTGAAGATGCTGCACAAGCCCTCCGATACAGTTATAGCAGTCAAGGTCAGTTCAAGGAAAGTTGTTTAATGTCCCTGTGTTACCCTGATAACTGATATTTATAATGTTGTAATTAATCTCATGTCAATCCATCCACCTGCTGAAAATAAGGACTTGCCAAAGAGAAAGAAGCATGTTAGGTATTCCGAAAATGCAAAAATTATAGCATACCACAATTAGAGCCAAGACCCAACTGATAGATGTCATTGAAAAGGTAATAAAAGGAAAATGGAGATGGGCAGGTAATGTTATAAGAGGTGCCAAAAATAGGAAAAGGAGGCAGTGGAGATGATTATATTTTTAAAATTATATTTTACTCAATCTGTGTACATTTGTTATTCATATTCAAATATTTGCATGGTATGCAAAATATTCAAATAATATGCTGTGATTGAACATATTTTAAAGTTTTAGAAATAATTTATTTAATATAGACTAAAATTTAAAAGGATAAAAATTATCATTCCTGTAACCCAGAAAATATTAATGAGCATAAAAAACACCATCTTTATAAAAAGTATGAACCATATCATATGTGACTCTGATGCCAAGTGATCAATTGATTTAGTAATTTCATTGATTATGTCAATTTTCGATTTGCAGTATTGTTATATAAAACAGTGGTAAAATTTACTGTTTAAATAATATAAAAATACATTTATCAAATAGTGACGCTATAATCCTATAAATGAGTCGTTAACATGGTCAGGAACAATATAATTATTTTCAGTCAAAACAAACCGTCACGTCACATCAAATTATACAAATCTGTCAAATTTCTTCACTTGATTTTAATTCTTTATGTTTTGTGGGTAGAATTTAAGACATATTTTGGTAACCTGTTCAGCACTAGTGTATACATTAGTTACATTTTGATTATTGTATAATTAGCAAATGCGTCGTTCCGGCAACTCTGAAGAGACCAAGCGCATACTCATGGACTTGGACGTGGTGGTGAGGTCGCACGGGTGTCCGTACATAGTGCGGTGTCTCGGCTGCTTCGTCACCGACGCTGACGTGTGGATCTGCATGGAGCTGATGGCGTCTTGTTTTGACAAGCTACTTAAAAGATTAGGAGCGCCCATACCGGAGGCTATATTGGGGAAGGTCACTGTTGCGGTGAGTGTTATATTATATAGTATGTTATATTGAAGCAGATAAGTGATCGGTTATTATTTAAAGCTTTAGTCTTAATAAAAATTTTTTTAACAAATTTCGTTCTTGTTATGTTATTTTTATTTTATTTTAGTTTATTTTATTTTATTCTTTTATGAGCTTGTAATTAACCAGCTTCCGCATATATTTAAACAATTCATTGAAATCAGTTTGTATACATACAATTCGTATCCGTCCATTAATCACGTGAGGCTCGTAAGGTTCGTCAAAAATCAGGAAATATCACAAGGGGGAAGGGGAGGTGTAGTAATATATCACGTGTATTTATTTTTCTCTCCAAAGCGCGATTATTAAACCGTGTCATAAAAATCCACTTGATTCAGGTGGAGGGAGTTGAGATTTTTTTTTAAATAATCGTGACGTGATTAAGGGACGGCCCCTGATAGCATCTGTATGCAGACATAACTGACCACTGTAAACACTTAGTTTCACAATATGCTAAAGACATGGTCAGCAATAATTTCAATATAGAACTCTACGTTCAAGTTAAGTAACTTAATACATTGTTAATGTTGTGCTGTTTAAAAGGTCGAATGGACTATCATCATTCGACTTTGTATTTAGTTCACCAATCAAATTACAAATTCTACAATATGCTGCTACTGCTATATTTCGTACGTGCAAAAGGAGTGCGAAGCAAAATATTTTTCTGACGAAGGTTTAAGTTCGGGATTTTTATCTGAATTTTGCATCAAGAGTTCTGGACTATCAATCTTCCCTTGAGCAAGGTTGAGTAAAAAACATCAGTGATATGCTAATGTGTATGTAACAAATAAAGGGGATGTCTTGTAATGTCAATAAATAAAATAAATTAAGTAAATAGATATTTAAATACGAAAAGGTAACTTAAATGACTCTTCTGACTTAAAAGTTCTCTGACCTTGCGCATTGTATTTCTTATACCCGAGGATTATGACTCCCACATAAAATAATTCTTCTTGACTTTTTACACACGTTTCGGTCTTCTGCTTACTGGAGAGCTCTGTGAAAACTTGTCTCTGAATAGGACCGCATACGTTATGACCATCCCATGGGGCTGAGGTCTTTGGTAGTGACCTCTTGGTAGTTATCAAAGTTTTGTTGATTGATACTGTGACAATGTGCTTATATTGAACATAGGATAGATTAACTTCATGAAAAAGTCCCAAAGTTGGCTGTAAACAGTCTTTAAAATGAATAGGTATATAATTTTTCTTTATAAATTGATGATTTTTAAGGTTTTTGCATGTGGTAATAAAACATACTATATTAGGAGTCCCCAATTTAATGTATTTAAAGTTTTTATAAATAAACGCAGACGGTGAAGGCGTTGTCGTATTTAAAAGACGAGCACGGCGTGATCCACCGCGACGTGAAGCCGAGCAACATCCTGCTGGACGAGTGCGGTAACGTGAAGCTCTGCGACTTCGGTATCAGCGGCCGCCTGGTCGACTCCAAGGCGAAGACAAGGAGCGCCGGCTGCGCAGCTTATATGGCAGTATGTTTACAATTAAAGGCTGTTCTATTAATTTATTGAGTTCTTATGTAGGTAAATTAATTTAAATTCGTTAATAGGATTAATGCAAGTTTCTATCGCTAGATTGCAGCTCTAGCACAAGTAGCAAATAGTTTTTTTATAAAAGCCAAACGTTATTCAGGATAGTGAGCAAAAAGTTAAATTATAATGAGCATAGTAGTTTTTTTATTTATTATGAAGTAATTCGCCCAGTAATATATTATTTCTTAGATGTAAGACGATTATTTCCAAAAGACAGAATGTATGAAAAAGTTTGTTAGTTTACCACACGTGTGAGTGCTGTCATCTACGCCGAGCTTTCAGAAACTCCGAATCCAGCAACAAGTTGCAAGTTTTGTTTAGCCAAGCCATAAACAACTTGTTTCTTTAAGTTCAAGTTTAGCTCGGGATGTAAGATTATTTTTTATAAATAGGTATATAACCAGTGTCACTTGGGATGATGTAACATTTGTAATGATACATTAACCCTAAACACAATATACTCCTTTATACCCAATAAAACACAATAAAGGGGCTTAAAAGGGCGCGAGACCAGCTATTATAAATTTAAAAGGATTATTTGTGGCTCTCGAAACAAATATGATCGTTCTATACATGTTTGCAAAATTAATTTCCGTCAAAGTTAATATTTTTTTTTAATTTTGAATAAAAAAAAAAAATGTATTTAATTGTGGCTCGCAAAATATCCAATTATGAAAAATAGCTCGCTCTATAAAGGATTTGGCCACCCCTGAATTATATATCTTTTTTATTGTTTACAATCCCATGTAAGTTTTATGTTGCGTCTTGTGCATCTTGCCCGTACAATGTTTAGCCGGAGCGCATCGATCCGCCGGACCCCACGCGGCCTGATTATGACATACGAGCGGACGTTTGGTCGCTGGGCATCTCGCTCGTGGAACTAGCTACGGGCGTATTCCCGTACAGAGACTGTCAGAACGACTTCGAGGTCCTCACCAGGGTAAGTCAACTAAACGACTATTTATCATCAAGGTGTCCATTTCCTGTGAGAAAAATCAAGGAAATTCAGTGAAATTTAAGGCCATAAATTAAGGGAAAACGGAAGATTTATTTCACTTGTGCTCTAAAATTGCTCTAAAATTTTTAAATTACAAAAAGTTTCCACTTGCAAAATCTATTAAGACTATTGTACATGCTCTTTTGACTTTGAGCTCCTTTTTTTTTTCAAAATAAATCACTTTATTCTTTTAGCTTAAATAATAATTATTTATTTCGCATATATGTATGTGGTACGGTCAAGTTCTTATACATATAAAAGTTATTCCAGCAAATTCATTCACTTATGGGAAGCAAAATAATTTATAAAACATTAAAAAAATATGCTATAGTCAGTATATAAGCTCAATAGAAAATTCACTGAGGGATAATCCAAAAACATTTTGGTCGTTTATTAAATCTAAATCAAATATTAATGAATTACCCAACAATATGAACCATGATAGCTTTGTATTTAATACTGGACAGTCAATTTGCAATGCTTTTTCTCAATTTTTTCATTCTAATTTCTTGCCGGCTCCAACATCTGTAAACAATTTAAGTTTGGCCTATTCGCCTCCTACTATTACCAATATTACCAAAATCATAATCGATATAAACGAACTGACCAGACTTCTCTCAAGGCTGGATCCATCAAAATCTGCTGGTCCAGATTTAGTGCCAGCTGTCTTCCTCATAAACTGTTCTAAAACGATTGCCATTCCTATTTCTATTCTTTTTAAGAGGTCATTGACAGAGGGCATTGTTCCAAGTGTATGGAAGCAAGCTTATATTACACCAGTGCACAAAAAAGGGTCTAGATCGAACATTGCAAACTACCGCCCAATTTCTAAGCTCTCTATCATTTCTAAGGTATTGGAAAAAATTATTTACGAGCAACTTTACTCTGCATTAAAACAATCATTCAGCCCAACACAGCATGGTTTCCTTAGGGGTCGTTCAGTCGTGTCCAATTTAGTCTTGCTAAATGAGTCGCTTACATTTGCTATGGATAGTGGCTTTCAAGTCGATGTAATCTACACTGATTACAGTAAGGCCTTCGACCGGATTCGGCATGATATGCTTTTGCACAAGCTTCTATTGATTGGCGTGGATGGCGACTTACTGCGCTGGTTATCGTCATATATAAATAATCGCTCACAGGCGGTTGTGGTGAAGAATTATATATCTAGTTGGCTTACAGTTCCAAGTGGAGTTCCCCAGGGCTCACTGCTTGCGCCACTCCTATTCGCAGTGTTCGTGAATGATATTGAGCACTGTTTTAAATTTTCACAGCTCTTATGTTTCGCGGACGATATGAAAATATTGGCTCCTATCTCGTCATCAGAAGACGCTCTCCTATTACAAGACGATCTAGTGAGACTTGACAACTATTGTTCCGACAATTGTTTAGATCTAAATGTAGCCAAATGTAATGTTGTCACTTACAGCAGGAAGCGGAATCTGGTATTATATGACTATGTGGTGAAAAATTTAAGTTTGAAACGGGATGTGGTCGTTAGAGACCTAGGCGTTTTCCACGATCATAAGTTGATTTTTGATAGCCATATCGACAATATTATTTCAAAAGCATCCAGGGCTCTTGGATTTGTGATGCGTAACTCCAAAGACTTCACACAGGCTAAAACCCTAAAAATTCTTTATTGCACATTCGTCCGTAGTCACCTGGAGTACGCTTCGCAGGTCTGGAACCCTGGATACCAGACTTACATATCGCGATTAGAGAAAATACAAATAAGATTTATAAAATATCTTTGCTTTCGTACGAAACAAAGCTATAATTCGAATCGTTATGAGGAAATTTGTAAGAAACATCACTTGCTCCCTTTAGAAAATCGACGTGACATCTCTGATCTGGCTTTTCTCATCAAAATTGCTTGTGGTGCTGTCGATTGTCCTGAACTCCTGTCAAAGATCGCTCTTAGGGCCCCACAAAAACAACTCAGGTTCAATCCTTTATTATATTTACCCCCAGCTTCTTCAAAATTTCGGCAGAATTCCTTTCTGTGGCGTGCGTGCAATAGATTTAATGAGTTATCGAAGCGAATAAACGTCGACCTTTTTAACACTAGCGAAGCGTCAATTAGGCGCATTATAAGTAACCTATTTTTCGAAAGTCCATAGTGTTGTAGATTTAAGTATAATGTAAGCAGCATAGTCTATCATTGTTATGATTGTAAGCGGTCTTTCTTCTCTTTTTTCTTTTTTTTTTTTTACTATGTCTATCTGTGACGACCTGTAAGTGGCTGTCTGTTTTTAACTAAGATTTTTATTATGTAATTTTTAGCTGTTGGTCATCCATGTACATAAATAAATAAATAAATTAAAATGTAAGCTTATGCTTTTGATAATATGAAATATTTTTTGTGGCTTATTTAAATTGAAATAAACAATCACAAGTACTTTTTCTAACGAAGTAGAATTATTGTTTGACATTTTTACATTGGCTCATTATCTTACTCAGGTAATAGCAGATGATCCGCCTCAGTTGCCAGATACCAGTGATTTTTCACCAGAGTTCAAATCGTTTGTATCACAGTGGTGAGTAAATAATAGGGGTGTTTCGATCAGAGCTACAATATTGATACTATGCTGCTGGAGGTCACCTGGCGTATTTTAATGTAATTTAATATTATTGAGTCGAGTATATATAATAACATTGGCAAGTGAAGAGTATACAGTGCACAACTTGATAATAAATCTAGTATGAAATAATACATTGCCGGCAAATGTACATGACAGGCAGACCGTATTGTATTGTAATGCTCAAAACCGAATCAAAAATTTTATATTATTAAGTTTTTATTAGTTAATTAGTTACATTCAGATATTTTAACGTTACCTTTACAGCCTAACAAAGAACTATCGACATAGACCAAAGTACGTGAAACTTCTAGAACACCCTTTTGTAGTGAATTCGTCGCGGAATAACGTATCGGTAGGCGCGTGGTACGCTTCGTTACCGTTGCCGGAGCAAGCGCGGCCGCAGCCGAGTGCGGGGTTGACGAGGATAGACGGGGCGAGTATGAGGATAGATGCCGCCAATATGAGGATAGAGGGGGGGATAGCGACACAGCCCGTGGAGGCGCCCTCCACCCCACAGCCTGTGAGAAATTTCGTCACAAGCGCGCATCATTGGACGCCTGAACAAGCGACTCCTACTCCCGCAAGGTAAGTTATGTTTATTACCAATCCCGCATATACATTACTAGTATGGCCTACAATCCTACATACGTGTCAGCGGAACCGTTATAACACTTTGTTAAAAAAAAAACACTAAAATAATACATTTTAAATTCAAATACGTTATTGTAATTGTTTTTAGTAAATTATTTAATAATAATTTTGTCACGCGAAAATATTTGATCTAGTGATTCTTGTTTTGTTTTCCCTTTGTATGTAAGCCCGCGCCAGATATGTGTTCTAATACGTAAATACCTACAAACGCGAAGTGTGGCACGGGCAATTTGCAAATGTAAGCAAAGGTCTGTTTTTTAGAGTACATCAAAGTTTTTGTGGTAGACTTGTTTCAATTGTTGTATTTTTGTGTTAATAATGGAGTGGAGTAATCATGTTACTATTGAATTTCTTATGCTTCTTCACATAGAACTATCAATATGAGATCTGAAAAAAATAGTTACTAAAAAATATCGCCTTTTCGTCATCAGTTTTGTCAGCCATCTTGACAATAAATTATTTGTAGGCAAGTCTATCAGACAAAAAGTATATAGTAAATCTTATTGTAAATATGTGCTCAAACTTCGATGATATGTCTGGCGGTTACAGTATATTTGATGTTATGTCAGGGCGTGGTGGGCGGCGGGAGGCGCGGGGGGCAGCAGTTCCCAGCCAGCCAGTCTAGAGGCAGATCTGTCTTCACACTCGCCTTACCCACGCCGGAGGTAATGTACCTGACATAGAGCAGGCTTCGCTTTTCCTCACGGAGTTAATAACTGTACACTCTGTACAACCTTTTTGCTACCGAACTAGAATTTAAAAATATTTAAAGTCCACAACCTGGACCACTTACTTATCTATCAATATAAATACTATGATAGAACTAATTGAAAGACCGTGGTTTGCTTAAATGATGTCTTTTGAGAATTTTGGCAATCCGTCTCATCAAATTTTGGGTCACCTAAGGTTAAGAAAGTTAGCGTTAGATTACAGAGCTGTAGCAACTTTCTTAAGGACCTGTTATCAGATGGGTGATCTAAAGTTAATAATCTCGAGCTCCTCCTTGCTTCCGATGCCACATTGGGTCGGCCTTATCCACTTAGAACCCACTGTTCAGCACTCGATACTAAGGTTTATTTGGGATGCTCGTACGAATTTAAATGACACCTGAAGGTCTATTATATATCATCGAAAACGTAATTCCGTATATTTTTGAAGCTGTGTTTGATGTTAAGGAATGATTATTATCATCAGAACGTTCGATACGTGCGCATCCCCACCACCGCCTGTCAGAAGGGTCTCAGCAGACAGCAGGTGGCGAGCTTCACCACAGGTAAACTTATCATTTATCAATAAATTATCCATTTAAAATGGCATACATATTTATATTTTCACCCTCAACCATATAGCCGAGAAAATCGACCTTTTCTCGTGTTCACTGAGTGAATTTATAAAGGTAGCATTATTTGTCACTAGTTTTTATCAACTATTTAAAAAAAATCAGTTACACTTTTGTATTGGGTATCACCTGTAAAAATAGATGTAAGAGTAGTCAATAAATAAATAAATTTTAAAATGTACACTTATTTTGCCCTGAAAGATAAAACATGTTTAAAAAAATTATTGCAATAGAGAATATATGTGCAGCAAGCGTACTTAAAAAAATAATTTAGTTATTCTTTTTTATAAAATAATGTGATGGCAATGACAAGAGAGAAAGCCTATCTAACCAGTTAGGCTTACTCTCTTGTTACTTCTGTGAACGCTGACGGCTTACAAGACTTTGACGTCATAGCCTATGTAGTATACATCTCTAATTGAAATTTTAAAAGTTCATACTTATATACGTACTCGGTATTTTTTATTGAACTCAATTGCATCTATTGCCACGGTAAAAAAAAAGTGTATTTGCCAAAGAGGTATGCTAAAGCTGTGATGTGTTTACAGAGTTCTGGCAACACTAGTCCCATAGTACTGCAGCGATTTTACCATCAAAACCAACAAAGGCGTTCCCGAGCTGATCTACACGCCGCACCGAGACACAGAAGGTACTGAACACTTATAAGTATACGTATATGAAAGAAAGAAATTGACCCCACATACATTATCGTAAACAAGAATACAGTAAAAAAAGAAAAAGAAATGCGAGGCCAAGATGGAATATACGTCTGATTATTACGAAAACGTTATAGTAAACTCTATTTTAAAATAAACCGACATTATAACCAAAATAAAATTCACTGAATTTATATGTATATGTTCGATGTCAAGTTGTATTGAATTTTATGGACTTTGAAGAACTGTAGCCTTTTAAAATTAAATAATTAAGTATCTACTAGGTTGTAATATTATTATTTATCAGGACTTCATGAGTAAAATATACTGATCAACTTTGACTATGGTTAAGAGAGAGTTAAATATACTGATCAACTTTGACTATGGCAGCAACACTGAATTCGCGTATAAATAATCAGCTGTTTCATACTGTTGGCAATTGGAAAATTTGAAAAAAAAATTTTTAAATGTTGCTCCCATAGTAAAAGTTGTTTAGTGTATTTAACGAATCAACCTCGCGAAGTCCTGGCAAATGATAATATTACGCCTTATATAATTATCAATGTGTGTTTTAGTTTAAGTAGAGAACACAGTACGGGACGGTCTCCGGAGCCGCCGCCCAGAACTAGCAGACAGCATCAGATGTTGGGACATGATAATACACATACACTCGGTGAGTGTTTTTTTTTTATTTATTTGAGACACGTCATCTTAAACACGAAGCATTTCAGTCGACATTTTGTAACGTCACTTAACTAGCATTTGATTTTTTTTTTAATCGTGAACAGCATTGCAATTCTAAAAAAATATTCTTAATAAAAAAAATCTTGAAAATAATCCACCAGCCCAAGGTTCTCTTAAGATGGCACTCGAATCCACGACCTTTCGTTATCCGGGTGACTTATAACAATATTGATGAAAATACGCTTACCAGAATATGTCTTTAGTTTGGTGTTTGATGTTATGAAAATTGTTTGTAGCGAACGGAACCGCAGATTCTGAACCGAGCTCGTTACACGAGAGGCTGCATCCCGCGTCGCCCCTACTGCTCAATAACGACAAGTATGACCACTGTTTTGTCTATATTCATATTATTAAGAGAGAAAAAAAAATGTTTTGTATATACTAAAAATAGGACTTTTGTTTTGTAATAGGTAAACTTAAAAACTAATGAACCGATTTTAATAATTCCATCACTGATATAAAGATATATTACCAACAAGTAAAGTAAGCTATATAAATAAAAAAAAAATGTTGAATGCATGTTAAAAAAAACGTATAATATTATGCGGCAATAGGTATGACGACTGAGTAAAAAAAAGGAAATCTATTTAGTCCGTCAGTCAGATAATAGAGAAATATTAAATACGTATTTTTTTGTTTCAATTACGTCGTCACAGTTTTGTAGAAAACGTACAAAAGCGTGACGTCATGCGACTTTTCAACTCAATGTATCGCCGTAATTTATTGATTAAGCAAAAAAAAGCATTTAATATTCTTGAGAAATCTACCTGACGTACAGCAAACAAAAATTAGTCGTCCCCTATTCGAGAATTTTAAGATATGATATGATTTTCATAGTTATTTTTCGTTTTTGATAACTCATTCTAACCAAACTACTACGCGACACTTCCGGACTTTAAAAGCTTTCATTTGAGTTGTGACGTCACTACACAGGGGTTGCGAAGGCCGAAGTCAAAGTTTGACACGTGCTGAACTACGCAACGGATTCCATGCGGAACCGCCGCCGCCGAGGCTCCACCACGACGATCAGGGTCAGTGCCCGCCACTACACTCGCAACACTCGACCACCAACACTCACTACACTCGTAACACTCGCGACACTCGCGCGCACACGCTCCAGTCGTTTCCAGATAACAGCATAGTCGCTAGCCTTATTAGGAAGTATGAAATAAACACTAAAGGCTAGCGGAAATTAATATTTCTGTACAAGAAGTGATTATTATTATTTATTTCTAGTCAATGGGATGCTTTAAGGAATATACATGGTTGAATAATTAACAGCACCACGTCGAATAAAAAGTTATCTGGGCGATTTGCGTATGCGCACGATTCGGTTTAAACAGAATTAATTGATAAATGAACAAGTTACACAGACTTTTTATCCAATCACAACTGTAGCGATTACAATTTGATTTGATATTGAATTGTTGCGTCTAGTCAATTATGTTTATGATTAATGTCATACTGATAAAATTCGGCTAGAGTTGAGTTTTTAATTCGACAGGATTTTTCACAGATTAAACGAAATCGTGTGAGATTAAAAAATATTACAGGTAAAGTCTATATTATAGTTTTTTTTTAAATACTATCAATAATTATTTCTCCAAATGTACAGAGCACATGCAAGCTTAACACGTGAAGCAAATTTTATAGCTGTTTTAGCGCGATTGTGGTTGACCAATTTCGTTTCGTCAGTTCGTTCAGTTTTACCCGATTTAAACGAATTTTAGGCATTTGAAACATGCTTGTATAAAAACAGTAAATAAATCGAAGTTAACCGAAGTTTTAATTTATAAATGACAATAAAAAGCTATTTTTGTTTGTACTGTCAAGTTAAAAAAATATTCATTATACTCTATGATTCAGTTACGATATATCATACGTAGGAAATGTCGATAAATACTCGAAAATAATTTTCATATAAAGATATTTCGATTAAAGTACACCAAGGCTTGTGTTTATATTTAGTTATATACCGGGATTGGAACGGCTTAAAGGATTCGCATCCAAGTCCTTTTCATTTGCAAACAATATTTTATTTCGTGATATCAGTCTGCTCCGTCGAATTACAAACTCTTCTATATTTGTAAGCAATACAGAAATGAATACATGTTGGTAACTGCATTATTTTCGGGTTCGATTCCCGAATGGGGGGAATTTTCAGTTCCTATTTTTCTTAGTATACAAAATTATAAAATCATATCCTAAATTAAGACAATAGTCGTCAATATTTGTATATGTAAACAAAGTGATATTGCCTCTAAAATGTTGTTATTGTTTTGAAAACAAATATTTAAACAAGTTATTTATTACTAATGATGGATTGGTTCAGAATATTAAACTTTCAACTTTGAAAGAAGTTCCACTTCAAAAATAGTATAGATTTTAATTTTATATTTTAATGTGTAAAAAGTCCAAAGTAGTTTCAATTTTAATTGTTCTGTGTAGAGTATATATTTGTATGACTAAGGAGGGCAGCCAGCCTAAGAACAGCATATGAGATTATTCGGAGACGCTGCGCTTGCCACTCGCGTCTCACCGCTGTATACGTCACAAGGCCTGTGGAACGATTATGGCGATGCTCCCAAACATAATGCATATACATTATATAAACTGGCATCTAATAAATATGTTAAATCTGGTAAAGATCTATATCGATTCTCTGATCAAATCTTTTATTCGTATCAAATGAAAAGTTCATATTATAATCACGTGACAGCAGATTTGATTGATAAATGTAAGCGAGTTCCTGTATTTTTGTTAAATAAAACTATTATTACAAAATACAAAAGGTTTTTAATCACTATATAGATTTATTGTAATTAATGAAACTCAACATCCATTAGCATGAGATAATGTTTTGACGTTGTGTTTTACTTACTTTGATCGTTCATCTAACCACAATCGTTCCACAAAATCATCTCCCGTATCATACGATCATGTCTTCTGTGTTTCACGTTCCCCCTTCCACTGTAAATGTCGAAACAATGGAGCCTTTCCATAGACAAAATGGGAGCTTTAGACGCGTATCCTGTGCGCTTCGCAGATACTCTGCTTCGCTCGACTGAACACGAACCGAGTATAAAAAATGAACTGTAGATACTCTATCGCTGTAAATGAATCACTCTGTGAGCTACAACTAACACCACGTGTGCAGCAACGACGAATCAAACGTAACATTTGAAATATCACACTTATCACAATGACATAAAGCATCGAATATGTTACGTTTGGTATGTCGTTCGATGCTTTTTAAACTCTTCTCAAATTGTTGTTGTATTACAGACTGTTCGTGAACATATTATATGTGTATTTTTGTCATGTATTGGCGACATATTTGATCCAATATTAAACTGTTCATGAGTTGTTCGCTTTCTCGTGAATTTTGTTTGTCATCGATAAGTTTGTATTGGTTTTGTTTGTCAAATGTTTGCGCCAATTCATCACCTATGCTTTGCCGCTGTCCCTCACACGCCCCACCATCGCCTGCCCATTGTCGCCTTGTCACATGCCTCACTACACTAAACATGACTCTAAGACGCCATTTGGGTTCGTGGGGCAAACATTTAGCCTGATGCTATTAGCAGAATATTTTTAGTCGTATTTGCTTTCTATAAATATAGAATTTGTATTTCTATTCGCTTAAGGATCAATATTAAATTGTTTTGTACTTATTCTTATATTTTCCTTATTATAATGAAATATAGGACAATAAATAATAGTATTGGGTAAATGGTTAAGGCTTGTAGTAGCCAGGTGTGACCGGGGCGCTCATTACCATACCATCACACGGTGTCGCTTCGCTGTCTCCCTCTAACATTAACGGCCAGGCATATGACTCGAACGTGTCGTTTCTTCGGTTCTTATTACACGGGAACGCCTTATAATGGCGTGGACTGTAAATATAAAGACGACGTATTTAATAAATTTGTAACTTTCTTATCATTTTGTTTATTTTTTTCGTATAGTTATCACAGTATTTTCGAAACTATCACATTTGGATGTATATATAGAGCAAGTTATCGAATCGGCACACGTTTCCATAAATCTTACAATTTTTTTTTAATCGATGTCGATTAAAAGTTATACAGTAAACTTGCAGAGTTATTAGTCTAGTTTCCGATATCTGAAAAACAAACCGTACAAGTGTCATGTTATTATTTTTCGTAGAAAGTAAAAGAAGTTTTGTAACGAGATTAGAGAGAAAATACTCCTTATTATAAAAAAAAAGAATAATAAAAAATAATCCAAAGAAAACAATACGTCTCGTGCGCGCCTCAATTTTGAATCTGGAACCGAGGAGGCGGCACACGTGCGAGTGGGCAGCGCGTGCGTGTGCGTGCGTGCGTGCGTGGGGTGTGCGGTGGTGCGCGTGTGTGCGTGCGCGGCTGTGTGGAGGTGTGTGTGTGTGTGTGCGCTGTGGGCAGGCTGGCTGCACTCGCTGGCGGGGCTGGTGAAGCGCCGCCTCAGCGGGTACGTCAAGTGGCATCACGTTGCAGCGAGACCGAACCACATACACCATGCGCAACACGCGCATCTCAGGTGAGTGAACTGCACAACATTTTACACATTCATCATCACCAGCCCTTTTACGTCCCCGCTGCAACCCCCACTCAGGCCTTCCTTATGGATGGTTAACGAGGATGGGCCCATGACCCTCCACGCTGGCCCAATGCGGATTGAAGGGTATTAACGACTGCAAATGCAGCCGGGACCGACGGCTTAACGTGCCTTTCGAAGCACGGAGTAGCTCGAGATAATAATTTTTTGGTCACCCATCCCGTGACCGACCCTTGCGAAAGTTGCTTAACGACTATGATCGCGGGCCGCGGCACTTATCCACTACGCCACCGAGCTACTTTTACACATTATGGTCACTCAAATCATAACGAATGTCTTACACATAGTATATTAACTCGAGAAATATAAGTACAAGGTACCGATCCTGTATTGAACGATCGTTCTAATTTTACATACCGTGTTACCTTAGTTGCAGGCAACATTATTCAAGAAAAATTTGCTCGATTTCTTTTGTTCCGTAGTTTCGATTGTAAAAAGTACGTCAGGTTACTACGATATGTTAGATTTACTTCCGCAGTTGACATTAAAGTCTGCCATCGATGCATTAATGTTTAAAATGAAATTGAGATTTTAAGTTTCGTATAACCTGACGTGCTATTGACATATGTACATTTGCGATTTATTATAAGTATAAACTGTCTTAATATTTTCGTTATGTACTTTAGGCTACTTCAAAGTAATTAAATTAATAACTTTTAAAAAATAAATTAATTAAAATTTATCAAAAATTTAATCTTTACTTTTCATAGCTTCTTAAAAAAATACTTACGCTTCAATTCAACGCTCGGCGCTATTATTGCTACAAATCACGATAACCTCCTCGCAGATGGGGCACTAGCGAGAGTTGGAGCGTTCCAGCGTCGCCGCTGCCCCCGCGCGCGCCCCCGCCGCGCCCCACCGACTAGCTCGCCCGCTGCCCCCACACGGCACCGCCATCCGCCGTCTCACACATACTCACAGGCAGCCGTGACACACTCGCCTGTATATGTGTGATGCTCGCCTGAAGTCGTGTGACACTCACTCGCAGTTGTGTGACACTCGCCCGCAGTTGTGATACACTCGCCTGCAGTTGTGTTACACTCTTCAGCAATTGTGTGACACTAACCGCCGCTGTATGACATACGCCCGCTGTTATACAATAATTGAGAGCCCTTCGTGTCATCTAACTGTGCTGTGCCATAATCGCGTAGCAAACGAGACGTTATCATCTCATCTCATAACTAACTCATTGTCATGCGTACGTATGGTGATTCAGATAACGTGACGTCACACGGACACCTGATATTGTGATGTAAAATTTTGAGATTTATTCTTTAAGGAATATGGCGCTATTATGAAAACCCCATCGTATATTAGAGATATTATTGTAACGAGGTATTATATTACGTAGTTGTTTTGGTGCACAGGTATACTTAACACCGACGTAGGCCATATATTGTCATCTCGCCATATTAAGATAAGCTATTCACAGGCACACAAGTTGTTACACACGCACACGTTAAATACATATATTTAGTCTGAGCATTTTCCTGTATATTCAATTATTAGTAAAAGTTGACTTATAAAATCACAAAAAAAAAATAACATTTTGGGTAAAAATACTTTTCACCTCGAAGTATATTTGGAAAATAATGTCGTAATAATGTTCTAGCTCTACAGAATGTAACGTCCTTTGATCATGAAGATATCGATCGTTATTAAATAAATCGCCATTTCATTGTCATAATATGCCACTAAATATGCCACTAAATGTGTAAATATGCCGTGCAGTATTAATAACTCTAGTATGTAATATCGACCAATGTTACTTATTATTCGAGTGTTAAAATGTTCGGTTTCAAAATTTTAGCATTAGCATAATGTTTGTTGACCAAAACAATGCTTTATTCACTTAGTAGGTATATTAACCACATAAGTTTGGAAGAACACGACAAAATAATGTTTATAAGTAATGCAGAAGATTTTTGAAAACGTCATAAAACGTTAGCCAATCGTAGCTGTTTTCGAACGGACAGTGTACGTCTGCTACTGGTTGATGCGTGCGCGCATCAGTCGGGAACTCTACTATGAATGAGACTTAGACTTTAAAGCATTAAAGTTAAAATTTTGCCGATGCTACGTATACAATCTTCATATATATATGAAACGCCATATAAATATATAAAATATCGTCGAATTATTATAAAGGGCTGGATACAAATCGGTTTATTTGTAATGAATTTATTTTTCAAATTTAAGTTAGTGTCGAAGCATTTCGAGTTACACAATTTTGGACCTTTGTTGGTTATTCATCATCATTCAGAAAAGCAAATGCAACCCAGTTAACGATTACATTTTAAAGTAATGTACACTTGAAATGATGACTGTACTTTTTAAAAATAGGTGCGTTTAATTTTAACCATTGAATCGATTAACGCATGTAAATTAAATGTATTTAAAAAAAATATGTGATATCCTAAGAAGATGACTTCGTTCGTGAGATAGATAAACGGTTTGTTAACTCTACAAAATGAATATGAGAACTACCTCTACAGAATGAATTGTATAGTAATCTTATGCTGGAAAACTTAAAAGTGCTGTATTAATTAGATATTGTATCGAATGTACGCTAGACGTAGAAATATCATTTGCGTTCTATGTATAGCGCAATCAGGTTATCCATTTACATATGTAAATAGCTTTATTTACACTACTTAACCCAAGTTAGCAGAAAATATTAGTGCGATTTGAGTACAGGGTAATTTATACCTTATTATGAAAGAGATAATTGGCTATATGTAGCTACGTTCGATTTTTATGCTTACGCAAAGTGCAGATGTAAAGTTTTTCTGCAGGGTTATTGTATTATAAATAATAATAAAACAGAAAAGTAAAAAATTGAAACTTGTTAGTCATCATTTTCATGAATCGAGAAACTTCTAAGGTTTGCTTCGTAAAAATGACTCTTATTGATTTGGTATAAATAAGGGCCTAAGTTCTGTTAATGTTGTTGTGAAGTACGTAGTACATGACTTTAAAACATAGGTCTTGTTACTAGATCACAAAAAAAAATATCTTCAGTATTGATTTATAAATACGCCATAGCACCAAAATATTAAGTTGAAATGCAATTATTTGAAATTACTTTGAGATGCTATGATACGATGTTAACATTATCAAAATAGGGGCCCAGATATTTCTTAATTATTTAGGAAATCATTTTTATAAAGATAGTCGAATTTGTATACAAATGTGCCTGTGTAGGTTTGTACATATGTATTATTATTTATGCATATACAAAAAAGCTTTAGTGCAATCAAATCTAAGAATTATGCCCATAATTAATTTTCTTTGTAATAAGTGTAATTGTCGAAAGTGCATACACATATAGTCGCTTAGATAACAATGCGTTAGTAGACTTTGTATATTTTTCACTAGCAACTATTAAATTGGTCTCCTGTGAAGGAAGTGTTTAAGAATTTTTAATCATATTTGTAATGAAAAATGGTTATAAAATCCACTTGATCCCTGGCACTCCGAGATGGGACTCGAACCCAATCCGAAATTTCAAATAAGATAAACTTCAATCATTTGATAAATAAGTTTAAATAAATAGATTGATGCTATAGTTTTATTCAATTGAAATGATATGAAAATAAAAAAAATACTTTATTGCTTTAATAATTAGGTGTGTTTAATGCTTTTTGCTTTAGCAGTTTATATTTGAATTTGTCTCATGTGATGTGTGGTAGCGTGCGATACTACGAGAATGTGCACGTTGCCAAAATAAACTAAATAAATTGCTGTGATTGGTCAATTGCGAAATATATATTCTGTAAATTATTGCATTTGCCTCGCAAATAAATCGAGATCCGCAATATTGTTATATGAGCGACGATATATCACTTGAATATTTAACAGAAACTGTATATTGTACGCACTGCTGCACGTCAGGTTACCACAATGTTAAATTCGTCTCGATAGATTTTGAACCTACCGTCAACATATTAAGGTTTAAAATTATGTGGGGAAATTTGACAGTTTTGTATAACCTGACGTGCTGTTGACTGTACATTATAATTCACAGGGAGTGTAGTGAGTGGCGATTATTCCTATTTAATAATATAGTGCAAAGACACATTGAATTGTAAATATATCTTGTATTTGTTGATAAGTGAAAACAAATGCAATACTTAAATCAAGTTTATTTCATAGAAAAATTATTAATAGATTTATAATTTTAATACAGATTGTAATTATTAGAGCGTATAGTATATTGCTTTTTTAATATGTAAGTATTATAATGTGTACGTTTTTGTATGTTAATTTGATTTGACCAAATGTATAATAAGATTAAAATTGTTTTTTTTTCTTTTTTTAAGATATTTTGTGAGTACAGTCCCAAACTGATGTGTCTAAACGGACAGTTTTTGCTTTTTAAACAATCAGTTTTACACTTAAGCTTCACCGCATTTAGGTTTAAAATAAAACAATGGAACCTTCAGTTTCAGTATTTTGTAAAAATCATGAAATGTGTAGTGTAGCATCAACTGCCTGTTTAGTAACTGATGATGTTGTTTGTGATTTTAATATCTTGTGCTCCACGTGGGCGTTATGGTCGCACTGTTGGTCTTACTTTAGGATGCATGGCTCAATGCATTC